CAATGAGTACATGACGTGACTGCGCCGCATGGAATTTTTCCAAAATATTGCTCCTCTAGTCGGTATTTATCTAATCAAGAATTAACTACTCGTGGCCATAATGACTTCAGTTAAAATAATCAACAACTATATTAACGTTGCGTTGTGCAACTGATGTCCCAGATTTAAATTAATGGTTATTAAGAGCCAAATATAAATCGTTCAAAATAAATTGTTATCAATATTGGCCCACAATATAAAGTTAGTGTTCATTTCTGAAATTAATAATGTTTTTTCTTTTTATTATATAATTTTAATACTTTAAGTATTTAATATACTTAATTTGATTTCAGTAACAAGTTATAATTACAGCTGAATATTTTTTCGTTTTTCTGTTTTTCGATATTTATCGGTTAGCTAACGGGTACATTATAGAATCATATTTAATGTGGTATTACTTACATATTATAAATCTTAGATGATATTTAACTAAAACTAATAAACCATATTATTGATAATAATATGATTTTTTCTCCATGAGTCATGACAAAATATTATGTTTATTTTGTTATGGTTTTAACCGCTCGGACTGTTCCGAACTTCGGAATATTATGATTATACTTTTAATGAAATTAAGGTTTTAAACTTATCGTATGTATTCGTATCTCGCTCTGTGACGTAGGTCAAGATTTTCTCCGTGAATAGCACATCTTTATGTATAATAAATTTATTGTAATACATATTATATTAAATATTTTGTTGTTGATGTGCCAGACGCGTCACCCAATTCTTCACTTCTCTAGGCTCGCCCAGCAGAAGCACTTACTTTATATTGACTTACTATTTCAATATTCTCGGGCAAGAGCAAGGAGCCAAAGGAAAATAAACGGACAGCTACAGTATAATAATCAGAATTTATTTAAAAAAAAAATTTTAAAAATCAATGTACGCATAACAAATGATAAATTCAATTTTTGAATAATTGCACAGTATCCAGCGCGACTGTAGTGGCGCGAAGCTAATAAGTAAAAATAAAAAAATAGCGTATAACTATAAATGTAAATAAATAGCCACTAACGTATAGTAAACAGGAAACCGAGGTATGCGGCGACGACGACGTAAAATTTAATTGTCTTCCGATTCGCCGCTTATCCGTCCCGTTACTTTCGTTCCTGCGGCGACGACGACGCCGGACCCTCCGTTAGGCGGAAAAGACGTTTACGTTGTAGTTTTAGAAAAGAATAAAAAACTAGTTACTAGTGAAATTGCAAAACATAACAACAGCAGGCCAGCGATACTACCCGGATTATTGTATATAATAAATGATAACTAAAAACAATATGTGATAAAAAAAAATGCGATAAAAACTCATCTTCGGGTGTAACAAAGTCAAATAAAATCGCAACGTTTTTTTTTTCTATAAAAAAATAGCTGATATCACACCAAAAACACTTCGTTATAACTCAGTGTAAAAAAAAAAAGCTAAGTTAAAATTAAATTTAGTAATGATTAGATCTTCAAAAGACGTGATGTATAATAATACGGAAACTAAGTAAAATGCCATTTTACATTACTACAAATAAGATCAATCGTAATGTTAAATACTTGGTAAACAGATTGTTTAACTATTCGGCAGAACGTGTAAGTATACTTGAATAAAGATGAATAAGTAACCACTATAGTATATTTCGCAAATGAATTAACAATTTATAAACGATATGTTAACTAAATTATAAAACGATGAAGTACAGCCGCCGTTTCCGTATTATAACACGACGAAATAAAAAATAACGGATAATAACGACGAACAATATTATCGTGTATTGTATTACGTATTCGCAATATGAAAATTAATAATAAAAAAACGAAAAAAGGCCAAGTTAAAAAAAATTGACTTTAGTAACGATTAAATCTTAAAAAGACGTGATACAAAATGGAAACTAAATAAAATGCCATTTTACAATACTACGTTTATAAATTGTTAATTCATTTGCGAAATGTACCATAGTAGTCACTTATTCGTATTTATTCAAGTATATTTACACGTCCTGCCAAGTAGTTAAACAATATGTTGACCAAGTATTTAAATTTACGATTGATCTTATTTGTCGGTCATATAGGCATTCGCGGTATTGTAAAATGTCATTTTACTTGGTTTCCATATTATATCACGTCTTTTAAAGATTTAATCGTTACTAAAGTCAATTTTTTTTTGACTCGGCCTCTTTTTATTATTCATTTTCATATTACGAATACGCAATACAATATGATAATATTGTACATCGTTATTATCCGTCATTTTTTCTTTCGTCGTGTTATAATGCGGAAACGGCGGCGGTATCGTTTTATAATCTGTGTACTTTCAGAAGGGTTCGGCGCACCGTTCTCACCGGTCGGCGCGGGATTTTTTATTTCGTTTTACCCCCGTTCCCCGTACCGTATCGATATACACGAGTGCCGGGGAGGGGAGGGGGTGTGTAGGGGGTGGGTGTCTAAAATACTCGTGCCCGTATGCACGCGTAAACGATCGCCGCCATAGGTTCGGACCGGGCGGGCCGTACCTACACATGCGCCGAGCGGCACGGCTCAAAAGAAGAGATTAGAGTATTATTATTATTATGTGCACCGCGACGAGCAATAACGTCTGAATAGAAAAAGGTAGGTACTGTACGCGCATTATTATTATTATCTGTTTTTCGGCTCGGCGGCGCGCGTTGATGAATAGCGATGAATAACGGCCACCACGTCCGACGGCGGCGCAATATCATTACGTATTAATATATAATATAATATAATTTAATACAATAAAATGTGCAGAGTCGGGGAGGGAGCGCGCGCTCGTGTGGGGGGGGGAAGGAGGGGCGGGCTCCGGAGAGAGGAACTATTAGAAATCGGTCTATCCGGGATTTGTTCGTGCGCGCGCGCGGCGGTCGGCCGGCAAGACGTTATGCGGGCGCGCGCGCGTGTGTGTGTGTGTGTGTGTGTCCCACTAACGAGTCGGCTTCGATTGAGGCGGCGGCGGCGGCGGCGGCGAGGTGCGCCTTTGATCTGTCGGCCGCGCTTGTATAACCGAAACTCCGCCCTGCGCGCGCCGCCGCCGCCGCCTCGCACAACAACAACAAACAACGACAGGCGGTCAGCTCGCTGCAGGTCGCGCCGCAGCAGGGGTGGTAGCGGCCGGCTAACGGCGCCGCGGTGGGGGTTGCGTTCGCCGGCGGTTTTTCCTATCGCCGCCTCCCACCACCCCGTGGACGCGCGCACACGCGCACGCCCGCCGCCGCCGCCCTTGGCGGCCGAGAAAACGTCCGTCGGCCACCAGAAGCGTACAGCCGTTTCGCGCACAAGCATTACACCCGCGACCGCGACACTCCGCGCCGCCCGAACACGACGTTATTGAAACTGTACGCGCGTGAACCATCCCTGGGGTTATACGCTGCAGACTCGACCTCTTCAAGAGCACACCCGTACGATACACAAGATGGCCACGATGAGAGTCGTGGGAATTTGCGCGGTTTTCGCCGCGGCGACCTGGGCCTCGGCCCAATGCGCGCGGATCGACGTCGTCTACGAACTCGCCGACCTGGCGTTCACCCGGCTGGTGGCGCACAACTGCTACGAGGCGTACGACCCGGAAAAGTGCAACGAGCTGTCGGACACGTCGGCCAAGGACGTGCGCCTGTACTTCGGCGGGCTGCTGGCAAACAACGACACCGTGGTGGCCGTGCTGCCGGACAACGACGCGCTGATGGTCGGCAAGCCTCACGACGCGTTCCTGGTGCTCGACCCGTTCCCCTGGTACAAGTTCGGCCATCCCACGTTCATGTTCTACGTGGACGTCGGCGTGCCCGTGTGGAAATGCGAAGACACCGAGGGCATCTATTCAGGTTTGTATACATGCCTACATTAATATTGGAGTCGAGACCGCCCGAGGCGATTTCTGAGGGTGAGGGGGTGGTGGGTGGTATATCGCGAAACGCTTCTAGACAAGTGCGTTTACAAACACACTGGTTTTGGATTCGGGACGCAACGATAATAAGGGATCTGTATCGGGTTTTATTTTAATTTTTTCTATCAGAAATCTCGTTCAGACGTACAGAGCGCGGCTGAGAGGAAATTTTGTTTAGGTTTCGAATAAGAAAATTCGCTGTATGTGATTTTTCGTATTTTATAGTTTTCCGAATAATTACGAAAAACTCGGGTAAACTTGTAATCTGATTATGATTTCATTGATTTTTTTTTAACTCGACATAAACTAGTTTTAAAAAAAAAAATCGATCAAACCGACCAGCTTTGACCGAGGCAGTATTACGGAAATCGAGTTTTTTTTTCTTTCGTATCGCGAGCCGACAAACACCACGACAGGTCTGAAGCGCCGCCCGTACCTATACGTTTTGCGTTTTTTTTTTTTTTTTACTGGTTAAAAAACACACGTGTAACGTTGGACGTGAAGAACGAGAGGCGCGATAATTATGATACGAAACCGGGCGTTAAAATCATTGGAAGCGAGTGAGACCGCCGCCGCCGACGATTACGTTTTGTTACGAATTTATAATATTTATAGCGTTATATTTTCACGAAGCAAACTGCAAACGTCAACAATCCGGTCGAAAGTCGATTAAATATTTCTTTAAAAAGCCGTTATGTATTCACTATTTTCGTGAAAATTTGATCATGCATACGAAATATTACAATCGTATTTTATCTTAAGCACGGCTTACTAACTTACTGTATTGTAAACGTCGGGTAAAATGTTCACACATTTCTACCCGATCAAAAAAATGTTTATTCGTATAAAAACTAAACCACTCAAAACGGTCGAATGTCTTAAATAAATGACTCAACGATCGCCAAAATGATTCGAACATTTTCCCGTGTCTATAGAAAAGGCAATTAAAAGAATTCCAATTCCTACGGGTTTTTTTTTTTTTGAAAATCGAATTACAATAAAATAACAAAATCGAAAAGATTCAAATTCAATTTTCCCTTGTTTCTATACGTTTTTCTTCTCAATTGTTAAGTAAATTACTCGAAAATACGAGAAACTAATCTCCAAACGTACCGTTTAGGTAAAAGGTTTTCATTGTAGAAACGATGCTTCACTATAGGAAATCCGAGCGAGATTTTCGGTATAAAAGTAAGTTGTTTATGGGCAGCGAAAAAAAAAACACAAATCACAGTAAAACCGATAAATTTCTCGTTGCGGATCTAAAATAACACCTACGAAAATAAATGAATAACGGCAAACGTATTTATCATTGCGTTTTTAAAAATGTTGATCATAAATCAACGAAAACCCACAATAATTTTTCCGGGAGATAATAATAATATCCATTATTCATGATAATTTATTATATTATTATTCCCAAACTCCGTTTAATAGTAATTAATAATAATGTCATTGATCGAATATCAATCCATTTAATCTGCGTAGGTTAATGCGTAGGTACATTCGCAATTTCTTAATCAAAATTACAATTAATATTATTTTATTTTATTTATCGTTAATTACAGTAAAATTATTTCGCAAAGTCAATAAAAACGGTTTTTAATTATTAAAAAAAAGAGCCTAGTTTTTTTTTTTATGTGCAATTTTCTAAACAATCTTGGGTTTTTCTCGGGTGTGGTATTCAAATTCAACAATATATTTTACGGCCACTAACGGAGGGTACATGAAAAGTGTTGCGAAGCAATAGAGTGTGTCGGGGTGAGCTGCTGATCCATTTGCTGTCGTCGGATGGCTTGAACGAGTCACCATTATTGAACACGAAAAAACTAGAAAAACAAATTTTTTTTTTTTTCAACAATTTCAGCCGAACTTATAGTTCGGCTTTAAAAGTTATTTGTATTCATAATAGAGTCACAGAGACCCGTAATAATTTTTTACACAAACTTGAAAATAAAACATAATTTTTTTTTTATTTTCGTCATATAATACTACACAATATATTAGATAATAAATAAAGCAAAATAAGTCATATCGAAACAGGTAAAATAGTTTTCGAGATTTGCACTAGGTAAAAACATAAAAACAGGTAGAGATATGAAATTCAAAACGGTTTTGTAAATGTATAAAAATCCGTAATCTTTTGTCGGGTATTGATTTTTCCGTATTGTATAACTCACGCGTATACAACACACGAATATAATACCAACGATAATAACGTTTGCTCGACATTTATGAAAAACTACTATGAATGAAATTATTGTATAATACCTGTACAACACACAGGGATAGGCATGGATGAAAGGTGGCCGCCGGCATACATGTTGTGAATACGTTTTAGATCGTAGCGAATTCGGGCCATACAAGTAATAAAACCGTTAATATTTGATATGAACCAACGTGATACGAATCACCCCGTATACAATAGATACGGGACGAAAAAAAAAAAAAAAAATCGCGTTTCGAGGCACCGTTTTCGGAACACGCAGAGGTCCGTAATCCGGATTCTCGGATCGTTCCGGATTCACGTCGCGTCGCTACAGCGCACATACATAGCTGCGGGTGCCGGACGAAAATAATAATTTTTCAAACGCGGCGCGTATATTGTAATCATTATTTCCCCGCCGCCGTCTCCGTCATAAATAACCGTGTAAAACGTATGCGCGGGCGTTAAACATCATCGTCGACGTAATAAAATATCGCAGCGTTATACGATTATTATTATATTGTACATTTTTATTTGTGTCGGCGGCGTCCGGCGATCGGCAAAGTTCCACAAAGAGCCCGAGCGGTCGTCGGGCCGGGGGGTTTTAGCCACGAGCCAACTGGTTTTGATGTGTGCCGCCGCCGCCCAGGGTCTCGCGCCTTTGTGATAGTCAACGCCGCCGCCGCCGCCGCCGATCGGTCTTAAAATATAATAATAATAATAACGATAATGATAATAATAATGTATTATACGCGGCTCTGGTTTTTTACTGCTCGCCGACGTCGACGACGACATAATGACAATGTAATAGTATTATCGCGTACGGTGTCGTTACGGTCGGACAACCGCGCCGGCGCGGCGACGGCTCCCCCGGCCGTTTGAAGCATCCGTCGGCCGCGGCCGACGCGTGAAAAACGGTACGCGCCGGTCTCGTCGTCGGCTTTTCGTCCGGCCGGACCGACCTCGCGCCGTCGGCTCCCGCGCGCGCGCGCTCGCGGCCGCGAGTCGTCAATTACGCGAATCGAAAACGCCGCGGTCGCATATTCAATCGACACTGACGAATGTTCCGACCGAAAAGCATGGCCGGGATTGCGGGGCCGAGAGAAGACCGAATGAGCTAAATGGATTCGCATGAACAAGCGAAACGTAAAAAAACAAATAAAGGCCATCGACAAAAACACGCGTCGCGCGGCCCCCTTTAACTCGCGGTCCGGGGCTACGAGACCCCGCCCCTAAGTCCCGCCCCAACCATACCCCCTCGATCCAGCCCTGCCAAAAGCCGCAGACAAATCCGCGGGACTCGGGATATTGACGGATTTACATTTTGAACACGGATTTAAATTAATGGTCCGCCGCGTTAGCCGCTATAAATGGGAGAACGGCCGAACAGATTTTCTATGTTCGGATCGAATATTGACAGTTTAAGAAAACGAGAATTTATGTATTCTGTGTGTTTGCATTATACGCCATCAATTGTTGTGATAATGAAAACCGCTCCGGTCGTGCCGATAGCTGTTGCGATTTGTTTTCTCGAAATTAAATTCCGTCAAACCCGAGTCCCGCCGTTTTAGTCTGACCAACTGACAATACGTGGCAAAATCACGTCGCTTTGAACGTGAATTGTGGCGTTTTTCAATTTTTTTTTTTTTTTTTTGTTGATAAAAACTATTTACACTTGGGCGTTCACATTTCGTAGACTTAACACTGTCGTTCGCGGCCGAGCATTAAAATGCCTGACCAAAACAAGATACATCTTCTATACAACTTAAGTTGTTTGAATTACGTAAATCGGACATTTTTAAGCACGTAATATTTAAATCCATTACATCCATCGTTTATTGCATGTATATTGTATACTATTAAGTTTACGAAATGTATTAATGTAAGACGCACTATAGGTAGGTACTATATTATAATATACAATACCTACTTACACTACATACATATATGAACTAAATGAAGTATACAAAAATATATTGTATATAAGCGCAGAAAAAAAAAAAATGCCAATTTGACTGACCTTATAATACTTGAGAAATATTCCATTCACAGGAAAGTTTAAAGTGCAGACGTCTGCTCTCCCACCGCCCAGGGACCGATCGGGCCGCCGGGAATTTTCCCGGTTGGCCGCTTTCTCTAGTGTACCTACCTTTTTCTTTTTTTTCTAAATAAACAGATCAGATTTTAATAATAAGTACGTTAAAACTATTAACGCTTAAGGGCGTCGGAACCGGTGCGTTTTTAGTACAAAAACATATCTTACTCCAGAAAAAACTATACTCTCCCACTGTCTAAACTAAGAAGTGGAATATCCGGTCGACGGGTCGACGGACATTAAAAATGTCAACACCGACATTTGTTTGAATTAATACCCCGTCTGTTTGTGATGTATCAATTATAGGCTGTCGTTTGAATTTCAAAAGTTGACCTCCAAATCTTCCTATCAAAAGTGCGCCTAAAAATTTTCATTCCGACATTTAATTTTAGATTACACTATTTAATAAAAACATTTAATTACACTACGTTATTATCGGTTTCGTATATTTATATAGGAGAAAATTGCCGTAATTCTAAGCAATTCTGATTACACTGCATATGTATTTTTCGAAAAACAATTTTTCCCTGATAAAGGGCCGGCATACATACTGATTTCCCGGGCTAAATTTGTATCCCGATCCGTGCCTGCCGCCAACTCTTCCCCGTCCGTATAGTTTCGTCTTAAATTACTAACAATCCCAATTGCCGTCTACGTCATACCGAATCCGTTGAACGTATTAAATATTATATGGAACGGCAGGTAGACAATGTATTTTAAATATTAAAATAATTTTGAACAAAAAAACACCCAACGCATTACCCGGCATGTCTTTGGTATCTTTCTTTCCTATAACAGAGATTTACATATTGTAATGGTATTATACCTGTGTACACCATCGATGTGACTATTAATATACGCACCTCGTATAAAAAATAAAAACTCATACTTGTCTCCTGCTGCACACTCGCCCGTTAATTAAATCGAAATCCGTTTCGCGTTAATTTTCATTAATGTATTCATTTTGTCGGCCTATACGGCCATTACCGAAACGATGGTTTTATGTGTAGGTTATTTACAACATTATACCGTCCCCGTAATAATAAAACCTCCGTTTGTCGGTTACCGGGTATCTGTACAATAATACCATAAGTATTTCATTACGGGTACTTGTATAATGTACTTACTTACTAAATCATCGAATGCCCGTACGTGTAAAAATATATAAATTACATTAACCTCGTTGGGACAGATACGTACTTTTAATCGCCACGCATAAAACAGCATAATCTTTGTTCAACAAATCGAATATATTAAAAAGGCAATCACGCATGAATCATTATATAAGTATTTTTCTCGCCACGAACGTGAAAAATTAACATTTATACATTTTTAGATTCCGAGTGTAGCTTTCGGTTTTACTAAGATGTTTGTTTTTTCTCTCTTTTTTTTTTTTGCCTGTGAACACGTTTTTTCCTAGTAAAATTGCTCGGGTTTTTACGTGTAGCAACTTTTCAGAAAGCTCAAGTTGTTTAGACTGTATTTTAATGAGGTTTTTTTTTTTTTTGAATTTTGACGCTATTTTTTTAATAAAAGCACTGAAGTGGGAAAAAACGTAGGAAAACTTACAATTTCACGATTTCGTTATTTTATAAAGACACGGGCAACGTTTTCTACCAGAAAAAAATGATTTAATCAAAAAATCACAAGATACTTTTTTGTTGACTTTTTGATTAGTTTTCATATGGTGTTATTGCCAAAATTTTTGAGCCACTTTTGAATTTTTAAGGGATTTTAATTTTTGGAATATTTCTGTTGTAACTTGGTTATAAATACACGTAGAGACTCGAAACTTGGTAATAATTCTTATACTGGACTTATCTCAAATTTTCAAAATCATCGGACGGCTTCTTTTTTTTTTAATAAGCGTTTTGAAATCAAATTTAAACGAAAATCCCAAAAATTATGTATTACCGAACTGCGCTCGGAATCGTCTTTCGTCAAATAATGGTTTATCGTTGCAGATATAAATGAAACAACCTTGTGTATCCTACATTCCCAACTTTTTACCTACAACAATGGCCGCTCCCATCGTTAGTATCAGCTCTTTTTTTTTGATTTTAAATACTATCCAAACAGAGGCTCGGAACTTAATACTCTTAAAAAGTGTTAAATACGCATTTATAATATGCATTTACAAATGTCTAAATATGCACTTATAACCTTGATTTTTTACCCAAACTGTCCATAAATATACGTTCACTAGGGATTTTTCTTAATGTATACCTTTCCAAAAATAATTTTGATTGAGTGTATACTAATTTAGCGAAGAGTTATATGTTTGCTGACAGTAAAGTTCTACACAGATCTTGCGAGAACAAACACTTTTTGGAGTATTAGTTATTAGCTGTTGAACTTAAGTGTTTTTATTCTTTTCATTTTTCCTAATAACCGCAATTCGTTTATGTTTTTCAATATTAATGTGACGAGTCACAACACTTTTTCTGTCACTGTATACCTTTACCTCACGTAAATTACAAAAATGAATAGTTTTATCGGTTTTAAATATCGTACTCCAACACCAAAACATTTTAAACGATTTGTCGCGGATTGTTTAATTTTCGGCATTTTCGGCAATGAAATAAAAATAACATAATTGAAACGAAACAAGGACAATACTAACTCGCGAACATATTAGTCAGAAGTGACATTGTTACATACGGGTAGGCATATTCAGACACGCTGTAAGATATTTTCCGTCCTAAAGTGAACATTTTATTGCCGTCTCTTTTGACGATTATATTAGTATCATTTTGCCGCTTGAATTTCTTTAAAATTGTATGCTTCCCTAAAGTAACACATGGTTTGCTTGTACACTAGCGACGGGTCTAGGTTTCTCAATGCAATCAATTATAGCTAGTAAATTATTTCCTAAGAAAAGTATTTTATAGAATATAATCGTATTTTGATAGAAGCTATTAGATAACCCGTCTATCTATTTATTAATGCATTTTTAAATAGTGTTATCATGAATTATAATAAGATATTCTTAAAACTACAGAATCAATTAAATATGACATTAAATATGTCGAAAAAGGCACTAAAAATATTTTTTTTATATGTTTTTCGTTGATTCGAAATCAAATACACGTTCCGAATCCTGCAGATAAGCTTATTATAATCTAATCTAAGTTCTATTTAATTCCTAAAATCAGGTACAACAATTGTTTACGATAATAATATCTGTATTAAACATTAATCTGTATAATCTGTATCGCCTATAAGAAATGCTATACTGTAAAATGTTCTTTATAGGTAGTGTAGGTCTGGTCGCAAAGCTGGGCAAGTAAAACCATTTTATTAGCTAGTTTAAGTTGAGTTATCCTAAAAAAAAAAAATTAAGCTGAGTAAAAGTGGCATTTAAGTATAAACAAATGTGAGCAATTAAGTCGTGTTACAAATTTTCAGATAAAATAATAACGCAGTTAAGTTCAAAATCAAACGTTACTTGTTTAAAATAACGTTTTAATATGCACTCATAAATTTATTTGTTTTACTTATTTACTATGCACAAGACTCGTGTAGATACGTGTGAATAGGCCATCACTCTTCTTATATTATGATATTGACATTCACGTGAAAATGGATTAATTACGTCGGCAAATAAATTCAGAAAACAAAGGTACCTACCGGAAATTTAGTAACTTAAATTTTAACAAAAAACCCAGTCAAGTAAAAAATTATTAATTAAAAGAATTAGCTAAGTCATTTTCTGACATTTTGTGTTTATTTTTAACTAGTTGAGTTGAAAATTGTCAAAAAAAAGAATTTATACCTTAACTTTTAAACTTTGCATTGTTTTTTTTCTAGATAAGTCTCGTACTACCCGCAGGCGCCGTTTCTGAAGTTAGGCATATTATTGTACGAATATAGAAAAAAAATAGTTTACGAAAAACGTGAAAACAACGAATAATTATTTTATTTTCGATTACCTTGACAATTTCGTTTAATGTACTCATACATATTCAGCATGACGAGGAAGTTTTCTAAGTTTGTCATAAACGTGCGGTTGCAGCTAAATATCGATTTCACGCGCTCTTTTAAGGAAACGAATATGGCTCAACGCGATTTGGCAATTTTTATAAATTACCATACGTTTAAAAATAATATTTTCTATATGCACTTTTGTCGTCATATAGTGTTTTATGGTAATTGGATTTCGAGATATAATACACATCATAGGCCAAAGCAAAATTGCTATTTATATTCATGAATGACTTTCACGGCTGTATAGGCGTAAAAAAATAAAAAACTGAATGAGTTTTTTGCAATTTATATCACAGATACATTTAAGTTTTTTTATTGCAAACATCAAGCTTCATAATTCCAATAATATTTGATTACCTATATTCAATCAAGGATTTCAATGACGTAACGAAACTTTTTTATTTTTTTAATGTAATAGCTGCACAGCGAGCAATTTGATCCGCGCACGTGCAACACAAATAACTTTTAATAGAAACATCTATTTTGAACATTAGTCCTAGTTTTTTCAAGCAAATTTTATCAACATAATTTCTTTTTTATTATTTTAAAAATTAGGTACCTGAGATACAGTCATCTAAAGTTGGTTTGAAAATATGATTTTATGATTAAATAAGCTAAATTATTAATAATTTCATTTCTCATAAAACAGTTGTCAAATTTTTTTATTTTTTAAGCCATTAATTTTTAATTTCTTGATCAGTTACGTGAAGAAAATAGGACTATTCAGTGTCAAAAATGTAGGCATTGCCGTTCAATAAAATTAATTTGTATTGCATACGCGAGCACCAAGAGGGTTAAAAATTAGATATTTTTTTCTAAATTGTGTACTTCAGTATCCCTTATTACTTCCTAAAAACGAAATTCAAATCCAAAGTCATCCGGCCGAAATATTTAGTGTTGCCTGAAAACGCGAAAACACTGGGTAGATAATTCCTGCAACGACACTCGAGTCCTATTGTGTAGATAATTTTTTAGCTGTCGCATCAGGTAAACGCAACTTAGCAACTGAGTAAATTTGATTTCGGTATTTTTTGTAAACTATTGGGTACTTATATAAATACAATATAAAATCATTTCCAAACCGTTAAAACGATCGTTGATCATACATACAATATTGTAGTTTTATCTGTATGCCTGCTTTAGATTTCTACAGTCTGTTTATATTCCGATTTTGATTGAAATACGCACACGCATGATATTTCAATGACAGGAAAAACGCCGTCTACTGAAATCTCGATATTTAACTTCTATGGGGTGGCTCACACTAGATTTTTGTAACGCAATTTCGAGCAAAGTTAAACGTGTTTTGTAATTTTTAAGGTTTTCGTCGAAATTTGAACTTTATAAAAAAAAAAAATCACTTCGTTAGCTTAACTTTTTTTTAGCCATTAAGAACAACTTTACTGAACTCCGTGTTAAATTTTCAAGCATATCTGCATAGTCAAACAATTTTAACCACATAAAACCAAATGAAAACTAAAAAAAAATTGAAAATATTAAATGCTTATAAATGGCTCGAAAAACGCCGGACTGTTTTGAAAATGTTACCACATCTAGAAAAATCCAATATAAGTATATTCTGTAAAGATGTCAGGACTTTATAATCATTTTTAACATTTAAAATAATGAAACTTGTTTGTGTCTCAGACGCATTTTGCATTTCTACGCTTTCGAATCTTTAGTTGAGTTTATGGTAAAGGGATATTTTATACATTTTTTATAAAACAGACTATTTTACTTTGGATCCGACGAATTATTATTTTTAATATCCTAATTTTTTGTCAAGATAAGCGCGTGTTTTAATTTTCTCTCTATTGATTTTTCTCTCTAATTGACTTAATAATATTATGTGCAATTATAACAAAAAAAAATTCGTTTGTTTTTGATATACTCCTAGTTTTTTAATATGTATATAATTGATGTTTTTACCCAAAACTCGACCAGACGGTCGCAATCGTGAAAATGCCGAATGTCATTATTACATTATATACGCGTGGTAGACGGATCTCGAGGCTTCGAATTTTTTTTTTTTTCTATCCGGATTACGTATCGATCACAATTTCGCTCGACGCTATAAACCGAACTATTTCGGATGCGGCGGGCGATTGACCGCTATCGTATAAAATATTAACAATATTTTTTTAATTGAATCGTCATTTTTCGTACGACATTACATTTTTATTGCAGTTATTCGTCATGTACTGCAATATAAATACTCCGTCACGCCAACGCGATGAGAAAAATCAAATTCACAAATACCTCTTATGCATACGCCGTCATACATAAATTTTTTGGCGCCCTATGCACTCGCATCGCGCGGACACGTCGTGATATTATAATAATATTAGCACGTATACCCAATAATGTTTGTTATTGAAAATATAAATTGTTTTTCGGTACGGGTTTTTTTTTTTTTTTTTTTTTGGGTCATTGTCGCCGCGAATCTCTCAGCGGTGACAATTAATATTAACATTTTTAATGGGAGTCAATTACGCGGTGTCGCGGCGTCTAGACCGGCTATTATATAGTTATTATAATTTATGCCCGTATTATTATTTAATATTTATTATTATAAAATTCGCGGTATCGGACATTGAATAAAAAAAAAAAAAAAAAATCCTTTTACCTACACGAGGCGATCAACACGATATTATTTGTTTTAACGCTTTCTCCAAAAACCGTCTTGCGCGCGATATTTGACAACATTCGAGATTCGGACTTTATGAGTACCCCCTAAGTAATTACGGTTAGGGTTGTAAATCCGAAATATTTCACACGAAATACAGGAAAAATAATTTTTTACGTTCGAGATAGTGATTGTCAAATACTCAAACGTGTCATCCAATCAGTTTAAATTTTATGATATCGTTTCGGTACAATGGTTGCGGTCCTCTGGTTTAACGCGTATGTAACGCTGTACGGTAACAAAAAAACCGGCGTATTGATAGTATTCGTTAACTGAATTCCGTAGTCATTGCTCGTCACTTTATCAGTTGTCAATAGTTCAATTATTCCTAAAAGAAATAAAACAAGAAAGGATATTGTTTTCACTCGAATGAAATTTTCATAAAATATTTCAAAAAAAAAAAGATTTCGTCACATTTTACAGTCTTGTTTACGGTGTTTTTTTTTCGAAGTTCGTTTTTAAATATCGCCGAAATCGAACGTTATTTCGTCGTCCTAATTCCCCCAATTATCGTCTGAACTCCGAATCGAAAATATTCTGTATTATTGTTTAGAGACCCGATCAAAACTTTTCCATCGACGTGAAACTTCCGGCCGTTTTCGTACAATTTGTACTGAGAGCAACGGAACGTAATATTATTGTCGCGGACGGTTGAAACGCTTGTTTGTTCGGTTTATTTCCGTCACACGGAATTTCGTGACCTATCCTGCAAACCTGCAGCAGTTTCCCGCAACCGAAACAAAGTGCACTTCTCTATTTATTACCTTTCGGTTTTCATTACAACACGACACGTTCAATCAAACGCGTGTACCGCCGGAATCCATACACGGTTTATAATTGCGCACGTCGTCGTCGTCGTCTTCGTGAATTTATCTCGCGTGTTAAATGGCGGCGAAGCGCAAATAAAACGGCGACAGTCGTTTATCGACGCCGGCAACGTTGACGACGGGGTTATAAAAATTTTTTTTTACTATTATTATTGTTATTTTTTTCGTAAAAATCGACGAAACATTTTAAAAGAAAAAAAAAATGTTTGTATAATGATAACAATGCCGTTCTAAAACTACCGTAACTGTGTCGACAGCATACTAACGCGTTACTATATTTACAAACTACGAATTTTTAGATGCGTTTTCAGCGGCGGATTCACGGGGGTCGGAACTCCGACGGACGCCGATAATATTATTACATATTATGCCTGCTTGTATACATTCGAAATATTATACCGAAACGAAAACGCCCAGTTGTTATACGCGCCGATCGGACAGAATTTTCGTCCGGGAAAGATGCCATGTATGAAATTCTAAGTGAGATTTCTGGTTGAAAAGCGCAATCGAAAATTTGCTCATTTCCGCCGCTGCGGATGCGTTTAGCGTTTCATTGCGTTGTTGTTGTCATTGCAGTGTAATACTTCTGTTAACGGTCACCTCGAAATAGCGGACATTATTTCCGGTCCCCTCGGTGACCGTTACATACGGAAGTTTTACCGTACAAAGGAAACCGCGACGTGTCACGTTTTACGCATTACGACAAAAGAATTTCGGCAATTTTCGACTGACCCCGGCCCATAAAACCGTGTATCCCCACGTTAACAGTGTGTTGAAACAGTATTGTATTTTTCGTTCCTTCGGCAATTATAGTATTTGAAAAATTCGAGAAAATCGTCTGCCGCCTAGTACCTATTATATTCAATCGGTCGCGGCCGCAATTGCAGTTACAATTTTACCGCCAACAATATTGTGCACTATTAGTTTGTATTTGATATTTTTTTAAGGACTTGATTTGCGGGTAAGGGGTTTAGCCGATTTTCGGGGGATAAACCCCCAAAGCTTCGCCCTATTTGCGTCAATGAACACGATACGTACCACATAGTATTATACGGGAAATCATAAGTGAATACGTTTAAAAAAAAAAAAAAAAACAGCATGATTTTTATATTATAGTTTCACGAGTATAAGCAGCGTTCCGACACCGGAAAAATCTTAAAAATCCGCCACCGGACGGTTTTAACATAACAATTTGTATGACAAGTATAACTATGGAATTGTAATTATCGTACCTATACCATATATTATATTGCATTTGGTAATTTCAATGAAATAAATACGCATAGTAATTATTTCATCGGATATACCTTAATATAATCGGTCTATAAGAAAATAATAGTTTATTCTTCCGAGAGAGAAGACTGCCGAAAAACGTAATTAAAAAAAAAAAAAAAAACAGCATGATTTTTATATTATAGTTTCACGAGTATAAAGACGTAATTTTCGATTACATACGAATCCGTGTATACAATAAACGAACTCGAAGTATATAGTCGAGTAATAAATATTACTTATTACGAGGCATTAAACATTGCATTTATTAAGAAACGTAGCGCGAGTGATATTTTGTAATAATTTGTATTACCCTTTTCAAAAGTAATTCGCCCCCGAGACTAACGACGATTTTTGAATAATAGTAAAAATAACAATACACGGTATTGTATGCGTCGTCGCGGGGTATTGTACGAAAACAAAAAAAACGAGTAATATCACGTCGCCGTCGCATAGTAAAAAAATTCGCGATATTCGCTCGTGATTTTTAATTTGTTTTTCTGTACATTTTAGATTGTGAACGGAGCGAGGAATGTATTTCAGGTTTTACAACGATGATTATTATTATAGTTTTTTTTTTCATCCGTGAACAACTTTTCTATCAGCGGATTTGGCTCCGATTTTCAATTATAGCACTTTTTCCGAAAGCAAATCTGTCTGGGGTGGTACTCTCAGGAAGTCATTTTTTGATTTTCCCGGACATTTTCATAATAAATGGAAAAAAAGGCGTCCTAGGATAATGGGGACGGATGCAGCAACTATTATAGGTAATTTAATATATATATATATATCTGTTTTACAACGATTAAACGATTCTGAGCGGAGTTCAATTGATAGTGATGCTCTGCCAACAATATACACGTCAATATTATGTTAAAATAATTAAACAGGCATTATATATTATGTTTGATAATTTTTGTTTAATGTACCGCCGATTTTCCCGTTTTTCCTACGTTTTTCCATGTTTTTTTCCTGGTTTTTCACATTTGCTGGGAAAACTCCTGAAAAAAAATCAAAAAATGACCTCTCTAAAGTACTTACACACGCCGATTTTCTTTCAGAAATGGTGCTACATAACACCAAATGAAGCAAGATCTCTGGTAGAAAATCTGTCTACAAAAAAAAAATAAAAAATATAAACACCTTTGAAAAACCATAAGCTTCTTCGCTCCACTCAGAATCCAAAACGTAGGAAAAACGGAAACATGTACGAAATTCATTGTTTTCCAATCGTACCTCCTAACATTGGAAACATACATACAACCCAACTCCGTTCAGAATCGTTTTTCGCCAGCGCGAAGATTAATCGTTTCGTACTGGTATACAACAAGTACATTCCTCTAAAATGTATCATACCTTCCCAACTCCGCATCTGTACAATAGTGGCTCCACCCATCGTGCGTGTATTCTTTTCTTTTTTTTTTTTTTTTCTTGCCGATTTTACGACCCGCGCATTATACAGTCCGCGGCGGTCAAAATAATTCTCCAAACGATTTTCACCGTACCCGGCCCGAACGAATCGTAACCGTACGCCCCCTCGGCGAGGGCGGAGGACCGTTTACGCGTGGGTTGGGTGCGAAAACCTTTTTCTCTCGCCGAGACGGGCCGTAATAATAATAATAATAATAACGAAACATACGAAGTCGCTGTGTATTGTATCGCGTTTCATCACCGGTCGTATATATTTTCACGCGCATTAGCGCCGATATTGTATTTTGAATTTTCATATTTTTTTTTTTTTTTTCCAAAACACGTCGGACGGGGGGGGGGGAACACGTATTTATTTATAGACACGGGACCCTTGGGTAGCGGGAGAGGGGAAACGGTGACGACGACGACGACGATAATAACAATAATAGAAACCAGTTTGGTTACCCTTGAAATAATAATAATAATAATACAAAGGTGGGGCTACACAGGCGCATTAAAGGTACCCGTATAATAATAATAATAATAATAATAATATAATATAAACGCGCACGGACGAGAGTACTACTCTAATTGTTTAGTGTATAATTTCTTTTGAACCTCGCCGCGCGGTGCCGCGCTCCTTTGATCCTCGCCGCCGACAGAAGCCGGTCGGCGGCCGCGCGGATCGGTTGACGACGTCACGGAACTCACCTGCCGTGTCTCCCTGTCGCCCTGTCCCGTCATACATAATAATAATATTAATAATAATAATAATAATAATAATAATGATAATAATGGTAATAATATACCACCTCGCGGTGTGCAACATCACGTACCTTTAATATTTTTTATTGTAATAATTATTATATTGTACTATTTACTCGTAATAACAATAACGCATACACCGTGCTCGCTTTGTATAATTTCTAGTTTCTTGAACGGCGACGGGACGCAATGAAGGTGCGTGTATTTTGGACGCGAGCGAAAAAAAAAATTGTATACGATAACACGCGCTTGCACCGGCGTCGGCCTGGCACACCGAAGGCCCCCGGAGCAATTGTTTTTTTTTTAAATCCGTAAAAGTTGTTTTTTTTCGTGTCCAAAAATATAATAAACACGTTATTGCACTGGACAAAATTGAATTTGAAAAAAATTCCGAATTTCACCCGGGTCTTTCTTCCTCGGGACCGAAGATTTACTTACCACGGTAGATAATATGCGGGCCGGTATGATATCGTGAATTCGTATAAAAAAATCCAGAATATCGGTTTCGGCGATGTACGCATAGTTGCTATAGTTACAGCGACCCGCCCAAACGTGTGCGTAATAATGACCATAGCTTTATCGTAAAGCTTCGCTAATTATCGACAATTATTTTTCACTTATATCAGTTATCAGGATTCCCATTTTTTCAGATAACAAATGTATAAAAGAACATTGAACTATTTAATTTTCAATTTTATTTCCGAAGCGATTGACTTGTTTATTTTATAAATAGAAAAGATTGTTAATGTTTACAAAATGTATACTATGCGATATGGCCGTCGTGAGAAAAAAACGCCGTAACAAAAAAAAAAATAAAAAAACGAGATCATGCTGTATCGCGTACAATTATTAATTACATTATAATTATTAATATTGATAACTATGGTTATTGGTCCAGAAATGCGTGTTGACGAGAAAACGATATTGCCACAATTGTAATTGAATAATAATCGGTGCTTGGCAATAACGCCGTGATATCATAATTATACGGGGTACATTTTTTTTTTTTTTTTTTATCATAATAAACCGCAAATTTTCTTAAAGAATTTGTTTCCCGGTTTTTTTTTTTTCTCATCATCGTGGAATCGTTTTAGCTTTGCTTTATAAATAATAACTATTACCTCCGAACGGTTCAGGCAATCGAAAGAAAAAAAAATAAATAAAATTGCACACAAACGTGCTTTACTAGGTCCGTGTTATTCAGTAATAATCTTGTTCCGATATTGTTTTAATAAAACACCACGCTCCTAAAATTATCTATACCTAGTAATAAATCATCGTTGCGTACAATTTTGCGAACGAACGATCGCCGAGACGTTGCGTCTGGCGCACAAATATGTTTTTTAGAATTCGGTTCGCGTAGGCGCAGAAACTCGAATACAAACGCGGAGACAGAATCGGCCTTTATTAAAATATACACAAAGTATACACTTGTATAATAACGTGGCCGGAGATTTCGCGACGCGATTTCGTATTTTTACGGGTTGAACGAAATTAGTCGACACGGGGCTCGGTTAGGCAATTCATTATGCCTTCGGATCATGGGCTTGGACCGTTTAAACGCCCGTAACTTCGCCAATCCAATAATTCGATACGATATCCATGTTGCATTGTGTCATGATAAATAATAGAAGGCGTTTATTTATTATAGAATGTCTTTACGTTCGTTTTAGACGGCCGTGTGAAACAAATGGGAAATTCCGAATAGGGCGACGCAATATCCATTACAAACCGGTCATCATACATCAATCGTATCGATGGGGATAAAACGATTTTTTCAAAAGTGCTCTTACCGCCGATGATATGTGCGCCGCTGGTGGGAAAGTTGGGAAACTAGGATACACATAGCTGTTTGATTTACATCTGTGTGCGTTTAAAAAAAAAAAAAAATCATCGTTAACGAAACACGGTTCTGAACGAGTTCGGTTAAACACGTTTTGAAATGCCGCGTGCTTTACGACTTTCGTAAAAAATTGTAAACGTTTGTGAAAAAAAAAAAAAAAAATCTAATAAAATAATAACAATAAAAATGTCAATGAATACCAGGAAGAATAGTTCGACGAACGTGCCAAAAGTCGCTGCCCGGGTTAAATAATTTTACGGATTTTTATTTTTACATCACGCGTCTAGACACGGATTGATTCAATTATCGCGACCAATTTATTTCCATCTATTGCCACATTGTTATTGGTGCGATTATTTTTTATTTATTTATTTATTTTTTTATTATTATTATTTCGAAAGGTAACACGGACATGGTAGTCTTCATAAAAAAAACTCCTCTGCAAACAAAGACTGCAACAATTACAAACCGTTAACACACTTACACGTACAATAATATTGCACACGTATATTATGATAACACTAGTATATTTTACATATTATTCGAGAATATCGTTGGTTAAATAATATGACGTTTTTTTTTTTTAAATTTTAAATTATATTTTTTTAAATTTTTTTTCAACATAAACTGTAAACTGTTATTTTACCGATTTTTCGGGGTAATCGGTGAACTGCAGTACTAAAGTAATACGATTAAAATTTCGCGATTATCTCGCTGTATCGGATATCAGGTAGATCATTGTTTGTAGACGGGAAATTGGGAAAATGTGATGATTTATAAACATTAGTTTATCGACTGTCGATAAATCTAATATATCGATCAAATTTCGTCATAAATATTTTAAATGCTTTTGTAAATAAATTTTAGATTCTAAGCAGAGCGAGGAATATATTGGTTTTACAGTGATGTTTTTCTTTTTTTTTTTTTATCAAATATAGTACCTTTTCTGAAAAGGAATTTTATCTAGTTTGTCTTAGAGGAGGTCATTATTTGATTTTCCTAGCGGTTTTCATAATAAATGGAAAAAACCGAGAAATTAAGTTCGAAAAATGGGAAAATTTACGAAATGCATTATTTTCAATTTAGGTTTTTTGTTGCGATTCAGATATACATTTTCTTTTCTAGACGTAGTAAAATTTTAAAAACATTTTAGCCTTTTTAAGCTTTTTATAGGCATTTTAATTTTGCGAGTTTTTTACGTCATTTTTATTCAGTTTAGGTACTCTGTGGATAAAATCGTTTAACAAAAGAAATGATTAACGGGAAGTTCATTATACTCGTAAATCATACTTCGTGGTCCACAAAACGAATTGAATATAAAGTAGAATTTTTTTATAAGAATTCTAATATCAAATTTTCATAATTTAAAAAATAAGGCATTTTAAAACATGTATAATCAAACTCCACTCAGAATAGTTTAATCGTTGCGTACATACATTAAATTCTCCTCTATATCCTACCTTCCGAGCTTTTCACCGACATCAATGCGAAGTATGTTTGACTGTTTTTTTTTTTTTACCACTAATTATATTTAATACGAATCACGTGTAAAATTTTCAAGCACTTCTGATCGGCCGAAACAATTTTATTCACATTAAACCAAATTGGTTCAAGTTAAAAAAACATGAAATGGCAAATGCCTATAAATAACATAAAAATCCAGAATTTTTGAAAATCGTGCCGCATATAGAAATTATCAATATAGTATTATTTTAAAATGTCACTTGTCTGCGATGGTTTCTAACCAAATTACACTATATTAACAAAATCGAACACAATTTCCTATGTTTTTTTCCGGTTTTTCCCAAAAACACGAACAGCCATAAAATTACTTTTTTAATGCACCAACTAGACAACATTTTGTTTTATGGAAAGACCATACATTTGAATTTCGTTGCCAGATTTCCGAAAGAACATTTGTATAAAAGCACAAAATAAAAAAAAAAAACCATACACCATATAGTTAAACCAATACACGCCTCGTTGGTTTCAAAATCTAAAACTAAAATAGATTCTAAACATCCCGCTATAAAAATTTAATACATAACACAAAAAGAGCCAATGTATTTTTAAAATTCGACCACTTGTGTGTAGAACGTGAATGTAACTACACACGTAGGTATTCAGTGAAAACGCCGAGTCCCCAGCTACGGTCTATGCGAGTATTTCTCGTCAAATTAAGTTATCGCTTCTTCGAGGAGTGGAATATTTGTCAACCCATCCACCTCCCTATGTGAAAGTCCCGTAACTCAGAGCGTATTTAAAAAAAAAAAAAAAAAAATAGCCAACGAAAACATAAAAATAACGCAATTCGGAAGTGTTCTTTATCGGGAACTTTATTTCGTTCCGCGGACGAAACGTAATAAACGCATAGCGCGCTCGTAGACCGCCTACTTCACCACACTCCTCCCTCCGACCCGAAACAAGTCCACCGCCCTCCAGTGCCCCTCCACTACCCCCGTCGAAAACCACTGTATAAAAATATTTAATATACGAACACGGTAAATACCGCCGGCGACGAATAGTCGACTGTTTTTTTTTTTTTGTTTGCTATTATACACATGTTAATATATTATACGGGAAAAAGAAAAAAATCAATAAAAAAATCGATAACACGCCTTTAATTTCGGTTTTACGGCCGCGTAATGAAATAACAAGCGGACACGATTGTTCCGTGCATTCGTATACAACACGAATATTGCAACTGTCTTCGGCTGTACAGTTGTAAATGAATTAAATAACAAAACGATTTAAACGTCGCCCCCGAGGTACATTTCGACCGAAACTGTTCGAGTGTGAAATTTCAATTCATTTTCTCTCTCTTTCTCGCAACGATAATACTTTGTGACCGGACTCGCGGATTTCTCATCGAGATGACCTACGGCATAGTAGATTAAACATATCTAAATATAATATTTAGGTACATAATTTACGCGTTAACATATACGAATCGAGTTCTTATTGAAACGCACGACATTAATCGATACCAGTGGTTCCCAACGGGTGGTTCACGGACCTCCGGTGGTCTTCGGGGATCCCGCGGACGAGCGGACGAAACTCGCGAAGAAGCGCTGTCACACATCGATACAAGACCGTATCGGGAAAACAATTTCGAGGGGGGAGGGACGAAAGGGGTTATAAACTAAAATGTTTGCGGTGTTCTGATTTTATTATAACATTGTACAAATAGGTGGTTTATAACTAATAGAACACGAACAAATTTCCCGAGGGAGGGGGTTGAATCTCCAAATCGACCCTTCATGTACGGCCTCGCATCAGTATCGCCATAGCTTATAACAATATATATATACACATACGATACGCTCAATATTGTGAAATCGGTTAATGTCGTTAATAGTGCCGTTAATATAGAGTATAGAGTATATTGCACGATTATTAAATTTAAACGTGAGAATATTATCTGTGTTTGGTTTTCTTCGATATTTTAATTCATAAGCGAGGCAGGATGACTTTAAAATTGTAATATATTTCATGTATTCGTAACTTGCTTGAAAATTAAAATATTGAAAAAAACCAACGTACAAACAGAGATAATATTCTTACCTTTATGTTTAATAATTAGCCAACGTACTCTAATATTAAAAGTAAAAGCACAAAATCGGTTTTCATAAACAAAAAGTTTAAACATAACGACGTTAACCTATTTCACAACATTTACCGTAGCATATATAATCCACGAAGACTTGATCACTAGAATACGGTATATTGGTATCACATACTGTTAATTGAGTTTGTTATTTGCGCATCGAGAGTATTCGAGAGACTTGGACGGGATAATTTACGAACAAAAGAAAAAATAAAGGTTTCACTCGTCCCGTATAAAGTTTGAAAATCAACGCAATAACTGATTTAAGTTACCTTGTAGTCGATTTGTCGAATAGTTGTAATAAAATGACGTACGCAAAAATAAGACATTTAAAATGTTGTATTTTTAAGAAAATTTGCGTAAATTTTATTACAAAAATGTGCGAATGTTTTTATTCATTTACGTGTTCAAACAAAGTTGAAACACACACGCAGAAAGCGAATATCCGAAAAAAATGGGTTTTCCGCCCAATCAAAGCTTTCAGCTAGGGATCCGTGGCTTAACGTTTATTAGGAATCACTGATCTATTGCCATTTAATATTATGCAGAGGTAAAGTTATACGTAAGTTTATTTGTGGGGGGTAATATCTCTGGAACTGCTGATCCGATTCTGAAAATACTTTCACTTGTAGAAAGCTACCACTATTCTCGAATGACTATTTATGCAATCAAATTTCAAAATTAATACAAGTGGCATAGGCGTAAATAGCTCAAATTTTTTTTTTCAGGGAGAGGTAGCTTAATTCCGCCTTAATATTAAGTATGTATACTTCGAATTTACTTGATGAGAACAAGATTTGGAGAGGCTTCTCCCGAGCTCCCCTTAATTGAAAGTTTTGAAGGACACGATATTATTTTATGTATAAGTTCCGATTAAATAATCAAACGTTAGTTTATGAAATCTTTAAACAAACAAAATAAATCTCGATTATTAATTATTTTTTACAAAAACTAAATGAAACTATAGGCAATATCAATATTACACATTATAATAATTTCTGTTTTTTAATTATAGCGTTGAGCGATAACTCGACGGTGTGCATGCAAATGGTCCGAAGCAGATGGTGCAACGAGCGGCCGATGACTTCATCGTGGGATTGTCAGGTGAAGTTCCTACCGCTGGTGGTACCGAACCGCAGTAACCGCGGTCAAGCCGACAACGTGCTGACATGTATGGACACCAAAGACGCGTTCCTGAAGACCTGCCCGCGTCTCCGGGACGATGGTACTGAGTTGTCTGACGAGTGTAACCACCTCAAGACCAACAACAGGGGCTGCGACAGTGGCAACTACAGGTGTTCTGAGCAGAAGCCAGTCAACCAGGTATAAACGCCGTTACCGCCGCTGACGTCACTATAATATTATTATACTCCTAGTCCCATATTAATTACTAGAGTTAGGCGAGTTCTGGACTTAAGAAAAATCGACATGACTCGATTTCAAAAGACCCGCAGTAGGTACTCGCCCAACTCTATTATATTAACTTATAGGTTATCGTTACCGTTAAGTAATTACTAGATTATATATTGTGAAAAGTATCGTGGTAACTTAACACGAGTGTATATATTAACCTGCAGGGGTGGTCAAACGGAGGGGAGTAGAGGGGGATGTATCCCTTTCCATTACTTTTTTCCCTTAGGTATTTAAAATAATATTTATTCGTTAATATAAATAATTATTAAAAAATCAACCGTATCCCCCCCCCCTCCTCCCCATAACGAAATCATTGATTGACCGTGACCGACATTAACTTATTACAATATGACGGTACCGTGGATCATGCAGTTTTACAATAAAATATCTATAGTTCTAAATTAACGCGTACAGATTAGTGGGGGTACCTATAAAATAAAATAATATATTGAATAATTTAAATCGAAAATAGCAAAAACATCAAACAGTTTTTTAACTTGTTGTAAAATATAATCGGTACGAAGTATAGTACACGTATCAACTGACCACAGCTGTCGGTCCAATTCGTGTGTGCCCTATAATACCTATTTAACAGAAACAATCATAATATGCGTGTAAACTTGTTTTTTGTGTAAAGGCCGTAATGTTATTCGGCGGTTGGAGCCGGAACATGGCCGACTTTGTCACGACTTACGACTTGGTGTCATTGAGGGACAGGCTCGTTTCCTGGGGATTCGCCGAGAACAACATCCGAACGTTTTTCGCCAACGGTATACGCATGAATGTGGATGACGGTGAGCAGAAGAAAATTTATATTATTTCACATCGATTAACCGTGACAATATAATAATTATGATTCTCCTTCGGGCTGCGTGGTTTTTAATAACAGACGGTACCGAGTACTCGACGTCCACCATTGACAACGTGGAACCGGCCGACAAGCTGAACATCCGGAGATACATCAAAGGCATTTGCGGTGCTTCCAAGTGCGCCGACACGTTTTTCCTGTATCTGTCCAGTCCGGCTAGAAGGGACGGAAGCGCGTTACTGTGGGACGCAAACGGCAACGGAATTGTAAGTATTATTGTGAGGTGAAGCATTTTTTTTTTTTTTAGTAGGTTTTATGTGTTCAAATTAACACACAAAAAAGACCCGATAAAGTATGATTTTGTTTACTTTGTACTTTGTACTTTAATTGTATAGAGAATACGAAGAATGACAATTAAGTAATGAGACTGATTAAAAAAAACAAATATATTAATAAATTTAAGTACATCAGTATGATTCCCTTATACTCGCCTACACACTGAGCCCAACGCTTTTTCCATATTTTGATAACTCTACTGGCAGCCCGTGAAGCACTCTCATTACGGACGTTTGAATACCAATTGTCTACTCAAAATGGGTATCTTTTACGGCTTATTTGAACCCGGGGAAACAGAACAAAGTCAGATGGAGAAATATCATGGGTACACGGGGCTTCCCGTTTTCTGATTTTCGTAATCATTTTTGCACAAAGCTTTGTCGTGCACAAATCTTAGACCAAAATCTTTTTTACTATTTCCCGGTTAATATATTCAGTTTATCTGACAAAATTCAAATAGTTAACCGCCGATCTTGACGCATCTTGAGCGTTGTTGTCAGTTCGCACTTCAACTGCCCTACCATTTTGCGGTTCATCTGCAACGCTTTCACGTGGCGCTATTTTTAAGAGAAGGGGAGTGGACATACGCAGTGGTTATTCGCTAAAGTGTAGAAATGTAGAATACTTAGGTCGGGTTGCGCAAACGTTCTGTACAAATATTTAACAGACGCGTGTAAATCGTAATGGCTCTAGTATCGCAATAGTATTGCAGAAAATAATTTGTAATGAATCTGTAAATTATGTAAATTAAAATATAATGATAGCAATAGTTACCGGATAAACTAACCATTTATATTTAATAACCATGCCCTAAACAATAATGAATGATCAAACTTTGTGCCAAAAAAAAAAAAAAATAATAATAATAAAATAAAATAAATTACCTTGTTAGTTTTAATTTTATTACTCACTAAAATGGCTCCACGTAATATCTATACATTGCAATTTAACCGAAAAAAATTACTTACTGCAACTTATAACACTAAAATTTAATCAAATTACAGAAAACATAAAAGTATGTGAGATAAAAATCTCGAATTTATCTTATTCTCAGTAATACAGCCATAAACGGTGTAGTCATAAACTCACCTTCACTTAATGTCTTGATGTCGATGTGAATAACAAATCCATAATTTGTGTTATTTTAAATTTAAAATTGAGCAATACAAAAATTCAGAAGAAGAAAAAAAAAACACTATTAGAAATTTCGGCAGTAACACTGGTAAAATGATATTATCGATCTGCAAATCTATCTGCTAGGAGTTACAAATACGAATCTGGTTCTGCACTCGCGGGTCTGTAAATACGAGTAGTCTACAAGTCTTTAATATAATACAAAACGAACAACAGCCAATCTGGTTTACATATCTGTAAATGAGCTAATGGTTCTATAAGTCGTTACAGACCGTTTGTGCGAACCGACCTTATTCTATAAAACCACAAGAGATCGAATTACAATTGTTATTTCGACAATTAAAATTACATTATTAAATAAAAACAATGAGCAGAACAAGACCTGCGCGGAGCGGAATAATAGTTTGCGAATAATTATATTATCGCCGAGGAAAAATACTTGTACGTAAAGATATGTCAAGTAATTCGTTTGTGTTTGATTTTTATTGTAATATGCGAATAAGGGTTTGTGTTTCGCGTAAAGGGCGAGCGAAATTCGAAAAAAAAAAAATCACAAGCCGTACATAAAGAAATTACACGATGATACGATTCCATTCAAATACATGTCGAATGAATACGTTTTTCGCGCACATCGACTATAACAAAACGAGTGGGCAACAGAAAAAAAAAAAAACAGCAATATAATACAGATATCGTACAGATGGTAGAAAAAAAAAACGCCACCAACAGATGTTCCGTTAAAACGAAATTTTATAAACAAATTTAAAAAAATATAATACCGCGAAAGCGCGAATGAACGTATAGAAATAACAGAAAAAAAAATAAAACAACACATGAACGTTGAATGAATAATTATATAGTAACCTTCGTGTGACCCGTTCTTTTTTTTCTTTTTTTTTTATAATAATTGTACTATAATAATAATAATATACACACACGTATATACACGACGTGTTTATACGGTACACGAGAAATAAACTCTATAATTTACGTCGAATTTCTATACACGAAAAACGCGACAATTCTATAAGAAAAAAAGAAAAAAAAAAATCTACTGCGTGTGGTTTTAATCCGTTGCGTGGAGTCTTCTGCGAGGAAATATTAGTTGCTAAACTAGTAAATCTTCTTATGCATACCCGAACATTCGGTTAGGTTCTCGCGTGGGCGAACGGATGTCGAGCGGTTTGGGTGGTGACATGAATTATTGTAATTTTCGCAGTAATAAGATCATATATTGGGCGGTGTGCCTGCCATTTAATAATAAAATACAAACTCGAAATCGTGTCACGTTTTACCTAGATATCTATATTTCTATTTGTTTTATTTTTTTTTTAATCTCTTCTCGATAAATTGAGAAATTATAGTTGTCCGGACCATTATCCGAGATGAACAATCGAATCGTATAGAATATTGTACAGATGAATTTTTTTAAATCGAAATCTATCGATTTGTTCGAAATATAATAGGTAACGCATTTAATTTCCACTGCTGTTTAGGCAATCGAATAAAAAAACGTTCAACTACGCGATTTTTTTGACATCTAGATGTGTCGCCCCGATTCGTTTATGTACTTTTACTACATTTAGTACTATTTAGTTTTTATGATAGCTTGTATGAATAAAAGTATTTTTTTTTTATTTTTGCCTAGTTTATTAAACTGCAGTTATTCACACCTAATTTTCATTTAGATAATTACTCTAACAATTATTATCTCTTATCTTTATCTAGATATTTGAAAATGTATCTTTATACAACACTGATTATAACAATATCTGTGTGTTATATTTTTATAAACGCACTTAATGCGCCATTTTCGGATAGATTATTTAAAAACCATAGTTTCGTTCTACATACACGAGATTTATAGGTATCAGAGTTTTTAGATGCCCACATGCGAGTATACGGTATTACGCGTATATATATATATCTCATTATTTTTTTTTCCTGCAGGTTAGATCATTGGTCATTCATAATCGCTATTATACGTCCATATTGTAAGCACCTGTACTATGCCATAATTTATGCAAATTTTAAACATTAAAACGTTAATGAATTTCCAAGTTAATTAAAGAAAAATATTGTATAGGTCAGGATGTTGAGCTATTGAACTGTCCCCAATCGCGGCGCTTATAACAAAATAGTATTTAAATTTCATTAACTGTTTGTAACCGCAATAAAAATCAATGGATTTAATGACGTTTTTATCAAATAGGTTTTCTACCTATATGTAGTATACAACTTAATATATGCGCAATACTGTTTTGTTTCATAATTCGCGCACAGTATTCACCGAGTGTACGTCATGTATAAGAATTGTTCCGAAAACAAACACGAAACGCATCGCGGTTCTGTTTTATAATAATTTATGCGTAAAAAAAAATCGACTAAACACGGAAAAACGATATTTGGATCTTGAAATCAATCACTCAGACGCAAACGAATGCTACACGTTTGTTATATTAAATATAGTCCACATTATTATTCATATATATATATAGGATTTTAGTTTCAATTATTTTCGTTAATAACTGTCAATAGATGAAGATGCAAATTCAATTGTCTATCTAGACGAGAATAAATGTGTAGATCATTTTTGTTTCGTTACCTATCGTGATACGCGCTAAAAGTGCACTAGATATTATATCGTGTGTGGTACGCGTCTAGAATTCAATAAAAGATTGTACAATTAATGAGAGTTGACGACAAATAATAATTTATTAACCACACTACCGCAGTATGAATTAAAAAGATTTATCTACGGGTGACTCAACCATTTATCTCGGATAATTTGTGCCCGTTTATCTGGCTAAGATAAATATAATGAAACCTATCTAGATAAAATAAAAAAAGAAGACGGACATACTTCTGACGACGGGTGCAGTCATTATTGTTGGTGAAAAGTTGGGAAGGTAGGATATAGAATGTAAATTAATTTTTATCTGAAAGCAACGACAAACCATTGCTTGCTAAAACGATTCTGAGCGGAGTCCAGCTGATAGTTTTGATGTTTTGTCAACAATATATATGTCATAATTAAATAGTCATTGAATATTTTCTTTAATAATATTCGTTTAATATTGTACCGATTTTCCCGGTTTTTCACATGTGCTGGGAAAACTCTTGGGAAAATCGAAAAATGTCTTGCTTAAAGTACCGCCCCGAGAAAATTTCTTTTCAGAAAAGGGTCTACGTTGCACACATCGGAGTATGTTTACTGGCAGAAAAAGTGTTGACGTAAACATAAATAAATAATAAACATCTTTGTAAATTCGCTGCGCTTGGAACCTAAAACCTAACAACCCTGTTGCCTGTGCAGTCCAATTTCAGGACGGTAAAACTAACGATTCGAACGGGATTTCAGGTGGAGAGCGACGAAATCTACTCGTCCAAAGAGTTCCTGAGCGACATCTCGCACTGTGCCGCGCACCGCGTGGTCGTGTTCGTCGACCAAAGCTACAGCGGCGTGTTGGCCCAGCACGCCCAGTTCGCCCGCCGCCGCGTGGAGAACGTCATGATCGTACCGACCACGAGGATGGACGACTGGACGCCCAGGCACAGTTTCAACGCGTACATGCGAGAATCCAGCCGGACCGCGTGTCTGTCCGAGTACATCAAGGTGAGTGACGGCGCGGCCCCGTTGGGTGTTCTATGCCCGTAGTGGGTGCCCCGTAATGTAATATGATACACGCTCCGAAATTTTGACGGGTGAGGAGGGGGGGGGGGAATGTCCAGGGACAGCGGCAGGAAACGCCGCGGGAATGCGCGAAAAAATGCGAAAACCCGCTCGTGAAGATAGCGAGGGAGAAAGAAGCCGGAGAAGGAGAAGTTATCACCGGACAGCGTTTAAACGGCGGGACGGGGAAGCGAGTCTGGACGGTAACGAGTAGTTAACAAGTTAAATTAACTTGATAAATCAATGGTTTTTGGGCTATTAACACAGTTGATAACTTGAGGGATACAAAATAATTCGCTTTTAATTGACTAGAGTCAAGTTTCGTACTTGAACAACTCGATTTCAATTTTTATATTTATGTTCGTATAAATAAATATATTGTTATAGTTATATAACTATAACTATAACTATAACTATTGTTATAGTTATAGTAATATATTGTTATAGTATTGTTATTGTTATTATTATTGCCGGTATATAATGAACATTTTAAAACATCAACTGTTATGAATGTTTGTTATTTTTCACTATTGTCTTCGGCTAGGAGTTGTAAACAGATTATTAAGCCACTATAGGTAGTGGGCAATAGACGACACGCGCATAAACTTACATAAACGATAAACTTTCAAACTCGTATCCACGCAGTTGCGTTTGTACAGTGCGAAACAGCAACGTACACATTCGGTCCGCGTATCCGTTTATCCGCGTTTATGCACTTTTCGCGGTCCGCGTTCGGACACGGAGTTGTAAACACGCAAGTTGGTACACCTGTATCGTTTCCGCGCGGGACGAGCGGGCGGGCGATGCGCGCCACAAACAAATGAAATGATCCGTAATGCGCGGGACGTTATTCGACAATATTCACCGGACATATTTCGAACCCGCCCGGACGACCGTACGGTGTCGGCGGCGTTCGAATACGGGGGAAAGGACGCGGAGACGGCTGAGCCCCTCTATTTTTTTTTTTTTTTTTTTCCATTCTCTGTTAACGTCCCCTCACTAATCATTTCTATTGAAACGGGAGTCTCTTTATGCAAATGACGATGTTTTCAAAAGAAATAAAAAAAACAACACGTGTAATCAACTCAATTGTAAATATTTTTATTCACTACCCATAATATACGTATTACTTAATCCTGTAAGCAAAAACGCAGTCCGCAATAATACTTTGTCGGGCAGTTACCAGCTATAGTTTGTTAACCTTTTTTCGTTTTTTTTCTATTAATCACTAACCGTTGAATTCGTGTCCGGAAAATAACGTAAGTGAGTGGCGGCGAACCCCCCTGCCGGTGAGTTTTACCGAGTTCAATTAACTTTGTGACGCTTGCTTTTTTTTTTTTTTTTCCGATTCGAGCGTGTCGCGTACAATAATGTTTTATTGATTTACACAACGGTTCTGTGTAAATAATAAACGCTATATATCTACAGGTCCTACGACATCACACGCACTGGTTGGGGGGTGGGGGGAGGGGTGAGGAATGTTCGAAGCTCGTCCGCAGTCACTATTGTCGCGCTCGCGATAAATCCATAGGCGGGCTGATACGATTGTTCGTATTGATTTTTTTCCGTTTTAACGTTTCGGTTTTGAAAATTATCTTTACGCGCCGCGCGTTTGTCGATTCGCATTGTCCGTACCCACGCGTTTCTCGTCGCGTTCGAAATCTGAACACGGACATTCGCCGCGTATCGTCGCGTTATTACGGCGGGCGCGTTACCGCGGATCGCGCCGCGGAAACCGCGCAAACCGGCGGACGTCGGCAACGGCGTCGTTTGGCGTCGCGCGGGAAACGTCGCGCCCCGTCGCCGCAGTGCGTTCGGACGTTCGGCATCTCGTTCTACGGAGACTTGGTACGAGATTCGGACGGGAGCGTCCCGCGCGTGACGGATTATCGGACCGTGTGTGCCTCGTGAAAAAAAAAAGAAAAAAAAATTCCGCGTCAATCGCGGACGCGCGTGACATCATTTTCAATACTGCCGGACGAGGTCCGAACGGACGTCGGCCGTTTTTTTTCCGTGAGCTTTTATTTTTTTTCTACAGCGTTTTCAGTACAAACGCTACGCGTCACTTCTGTGGGTGCACAACCGACGCATCGCATTGTATTAAGCGTCGCGATAAAACAACGTTTGAATTAAAACAGTAACGGTCATCGCCCGTCGCCGCTAATTGATCATCCGTTTATTGTCGTTCGCGGCGACCGTTCCGCGGCCGTTCGACGTCCGTCGAAAACGAATTGTTTAATAAATTTAAACGGTCGATTTCGTACGGTGGGGGGGGAGAGGGAGGGTGGAATACGCGAACTAATTCGCCAATTATATATGCAACGTATCGAGTTCAGATAATTTACATACGAGTTTAGAGTTAACTTGTTGACGAAAATCGTAAAAATCACGGCATTTTAAAAAATGTTCAACCGAACTTTACTCAGAATCTTTGCACTCGTCCGTAGTATCAGCTCTTTTTGTTTTAAATTCTAAACCATACAAATGTAATTGTTTATGCGTGTTGAGACTGACGTTATAAAAACTACACGAACCGTTAAACCTGCAGTATACTTTAGATAAAATAGTATGGAATCAAAAGAGACAAAAGAAAACTCACTAATCTACATAAAAAACCCGTAAACATGTGCACATTTGTATATTTTTAGAAATCTATCCACGCAATCGGGTTGTACAACAGTTTATTACAATACCCGTTTTCTAAACCGTAATTTTTTTCGCCCGCATTTTTCTCCTTGGTTTTCGGCAAAATGCACGCACGCGCTATTATAAAAGAGCGCTCATGCCAAATATACGAGTTTATTCGATAAAAAAAGTAACGAAATATTTACATTTACCGGCGTATAGTCGCCGGATAATAAATTTACAACAAGACACCGCGCATAATAATTTATAACACAATAAATTTAACTATTTAAAATGTTTAAAATAGTCACATCACGAGTGCAAAATCGACTGTTTAAAAATATTAATATCAGTATACCTCTGTTTTATTCATCGTGAAGCAAGCGCCTAAAACTAAATATTTGTCGGGCGGCCGAACTGAGTGCTAAAAGGAGCAATTGTTCCTGGTCCGGATAGGATGGGCGGGTAGATGGTTGGGTGTTATAGACATTTGACTTTGTAACAATTCTAATTACTAATCTAAAAAAAATCTAATAAATCCGATAAAAACCGAATTTAGATTCGCAATAAGTGACGAAAGGTCGGAACGTACACGTATGGTTACCCCGCGAAAGTCATAATAAGATTAATTTAGATCGGGTCATAAATTACACGGGAACGAGATCACAAAACGTACCGAACGAAACGTCGCCGAGTTATTATTTCGTTTTCACCGTCGCGGTTAGGTTCGGTTTGGTGTCGAGACGTTCTTTCGGTAACAATTTACGCGTTTTCCTTAAAAGCAAACGCGTTTCGTCTACACCCATTTATTCGGAACCGAGTCCGAACGTATTACGTCGGGTTTACACCGCGATCGCCGAGGAACGAGGACCGACCGAGTCACTAAACCGAGTCGCTGAATTGTTTTCGTTTGAAAAATGCGGACGCATTTTTCAGTAACGATTCCAGTGCCGATTTTCGCACACGTTTGTCTGCCGTACACCGACGCGTACATCGCTGTCGTTAGTAGAATCGCGAGTCAGCAAAATACGTTAGTAAAATCAATATTATTGTCACTCTATTATCTAGTGTCCGAGACGCATCTCGCGAATTCAGTCACGCCGCCTTCTGCGAGTTTACTTAAGAGCGAAAGATTGCTGTCTCGGTCCATTATTCTCTTGTGTCCGAATTGATCTGTCTTTGAATCGCTCAATTGTTCAGTGCGAATTATCAGCTTTTGGACGATCCCGTTTTTTTTTTTTTTATTTTTTTTTATTCGTTTTTCAAGACAATACGCAGAAATACAATAACACTACGTACACTAGCGGTCGGTTTTACCGAACGGTCGCGATTGAGTACTCGATTAGTAGCGGTGCGCTTTAGCGACTTCGAATTGTAAAAAAAAAAAAAAACTCACGCCGGGCCCCGCGAAAATTGCCTATACAAAACCCCCGGCGGACACACAAACGCCGCCGGGCGGTCGGCGTCCCCTCGGTCGAACGCGCGCGCGAGAAAAAAAATTAAACAAAAGCTCACGGAGCGGTGACGGTGCCGAGCAGTGGGCGGCGAGCCACGGGTCCGCGACGCTTAGCTGCCCCGAGGCGTCGTTGTTTTTCGACGAGTGGACAGGCGAACACAAAAACAGACGGGTACCGTTGTTGTTTCGCTTGTTACGCCGCGATATTAGTACAGACGGACAGAATGCACGAAAACGGACTCCGAACTGTGGTGTGAATCGGGGACCCGACTCGAATAGTGGCGTTCGGCCAGGGTTGGCGATTGTCGACGGGGATCGGTGGATTTCGCTTTGGCGCTTATCGGGGCGCTCTGTTGATCCCGATAATGTATTATAGGAATCGGAATCTACGAAACGGCCTTTTTTTTTTTTTTTACTACGTTTTTACGATTTCCATAATAGGCATTAGCCCCCGGCCCAACACTTGGCCCACAATTCGGTTAATGCGCACAATGTTTCGCCACGGCCGTTACAGACGTTCTAGTCGACGCCACTGGTGTCCTCGCGACGTGTTGCGACCGCAGTTTGTCGTTTTGCCCGCCGTTGTTCCATTACTCGCATTCGTACGCGCAGCGTTACACCGCGGGTCGATGTTTTCGTTTCGAATGCGTTTCGGTGTTTAATGCGAAACCGGTTGACGGCGAAAACTTTTTGTACCGGTCGTCGACGACGGCGAAAAACAATCGGGAGAAAAAAATCCGTCGAATTGTGTACGTACCCACATGCCGCGTTTTTTTTTTTTTTATAACGTAAATATATATGTATTTTTTTTTTCGTCCATCGCGGACAATGGACGTTTTTAATTCCGTTCTGCGCATTGCGTATGTGTATCGTTTGACGACGACGAGTATGAAAATATCGTCGTCGGCTCGCGTCCTCGTATACAGTTGCTGCGCGCTATTATAAACCCCGCGCATCGGAACGGCTAAAAAAAAAAAAAACAAATATTGCGGTGGGTTTTTTAAATACATACGATTCTTCAAATACGTACGTTCGCTACGGGTGTACGGCACGAGCGAAATGTACATAATAAATATTGCGTTCCGATATCGTATAATTCGTAATTTACATTCGATCGTGTCTCGCTGACGTTTTTATCGTTTTATTATATGATAATAGTATTAGGTTTTTCGCGAACATCGTTTTTTTTTTCGACTTTCGACTATAAGGCGCCCGCGGGGGAAATTTGTTTGATAAAATTAATCGCACGAAACATATTTCATAATCAATACACGCAGAACAAATTTGTTTTATAAGTAGGTACATATTTTTTTTTTCCTACCTACTTGACAAGTACATACAGTTCATTTTCAGTGTCGTCCGAATTTGAATATTGAAAGAAGAAGATTAATAAAAAAAAAAAAAAAAAATTGAATTAGGTCGATAAATTTACATACTGTACTGTATTAAACACAAAATAAAAAACAGTCAGAACCGTGCATAAATATACATTAATTAATAATATATCTTTTGTATTCGTCGAAAACTGGGGTTGATTGTACAAGTCGATGAGAAATAATTACGCGCGAAACAAAACGCGTTTTATTTCGTGGAACTCGTTTGCAAAAAAAAAAAAAAAATTGTTAAATAACGTTTCGGAAACGCCGGTGTATCGTGTCGGTGTTGGTGAGTTGATTCACGAGACTTACTTTGTGTACTAGTCGATTCCCGGGTTTTCGTTAGGCACGCACGATTTGTTGTAGAACCCCTAATGTTATACGCCGGCAATACGAAAAATGTCGAATATGTCGAATGAGCACTCCGGCCCGTGACCCGTTACCCAAGAGGACGCCGCGAGGAGGTTGGCTGACGAGTGTCTCAAACGTTTTCTTATTTTTAATATTTCGGACCGTGATGCGTTGACGTTACAACTGTTTTTATTGAGAATATTTCTGATAGGGTATTTTAACGGTTTGTCGCCATAGAATTGCGTTTTAGTTTGCGCCGGGGGTAAAAATGTAAAACTCGTCGTTTTTAGAAATCTGGTAATGGGATTACCAGCGTACTTACCGAACACTTATCTCGTAAAAACTCGGAGTGCTCGCGGAGCACGCGTGATATTCCGGAATGTCCAACTATAGAAACTGCCATCTAATTTAAATTATCAGTACCAAAAAAATTTGATAAAAAAAAAAAAAACCTGTTATTTCCGTTACTGATGTACGAAAATAAGAGCTAACAGGCTCGTACATACCTCGTAATGGTCACGGAATCAATTCGCCGATATCGTCGCCAGTAAACGGGTACCCGGGAATCGACTCTTGCGCAGCCTGTCGCGTCGCTCCGTTTAAATGCGTGCGGTTAGGTTAAGAACCGCGTCTACTGTCTCCGTCCTACAAACGCGAGACACAGGCAAACGCGCGTTCAGCGGGACGCATTTGGTGCCTTTAGTTCTAATGTAACAGCTAATTAGCCCGTTACCAAACCCGAAGGTGTGAGAATAATCATGCGCGCCCTAGCGTTGATGTTTTTTTTTTTTTTTTAAATGAGAAATACGAGTGTATTAAATGTCACAGTTTAAAAACGTGTCGCGTCTCGCCGAAAAATTAAAATATCGTTAAACCGCCGACGCCGGGGCACGCGTAATCGCCGGCGTGGGGGGGGGGACGTCCTCTTAACTATATTGCGAAAAGAATTTCCCGTGCGCGCGACCCGCCTAAAAGTAAGCGGGCAGAATAAATGCTCGTGAAACGAATTCGTTCTGTACGCGTCCACTGTGAAGTATGTTGCGCGCGATTAATTTCCCCCGCGAGGCGTCCGCTTGAAATAATATTTTTTTTTTTTTTTCGGATTTTGTGTGAAGTGCCCCCGTCACGCGCCCCGCTCGGTGTACGACTTTTGTCTCCGAATACGTCCCGTACCATATGCCGCGGTTTCTTTCCGCCGCGGTCGCGAGAATAGATTTACGGAACGTGCACGCGCGTGTGCGCGCGAATACACAGGGTGTCCGTTTCAACGTCGCGGCGCGAATCTTCGCTAAAATCTCGAATCGCGTTCCGAGGCAGTCCGCAACGCGCCGCCGCAGTGTTCGCTGACGCGCACGGCGGTCGCGCGGACACGCGTCGCATAAAACCCGAAAACAATCGTTGTGGATAATAAATCGCGGCGTCGGTAACGTTTTGCCCCGCGATAGCGCCCACGAGCAGAGTAAACAACGTACGCGTGTGTTATAAAAATAAAAAAATCGAACGAACGAACGCGTCAAGTGAACAGGCGTGTTACCGTACGGCCGGTTTCGAATTCGAAATTCGCCATCAGGTGTGTCGCAGTCAAAACGCGAAACGCGACTCGCAGTTTCGGCTCATTTTCGCGTTTTACATTTTGACTGCGACGGACCGTAACCGGTCGCACAATAATACGCTTATCATAACACTCCGGGCGACGCGTTCGTTCGTTTAATCGTTTCAAATTTTTATACGGTACAATTTATTTACGAGTGTTAACCGATTAATTCATAATTTTGCCTTATATTTTATTTCGTTACCCGTAAGTATCAGTTGTAAGTAATATGTATTCCGTCGCGCGCGCGCGCGGATATCTTGAGAACGGAATAATGGCCGCGATAAACCGGTCACCCTATGCGCGATTACAATGTATTATTATGCAATTTAAAGATCGAAATTCCATCTGGTATCCATACGTTTCTTTTTTTTTTTCTTCTTCTCGGCCGCGGAATGACACAAAAGTTCCGGAATTTCTCGTTTCCAATGACAAACGGCTTGACCTTAGACAAACAAAAAATACTTACAATATACCGCGGTTTTATTTTTGTTTTTATTTTTTTTTGTTTCCCCTTCCCCCCCCCCGCCCCTATATCATCTCGGCTATATTTACGCACGTGATGCGATTTTATGCGCGTTATGTTTCGTTCTGTTCCAACATTTGTGTGCGGTTTTTTCGTCCCGTAACATTCACGAAGCGGTTTTTTTTTTTTTTATTTTATTTGTATTATACGTAAATGTATATCTAATAATAATCACATGCACATACATTTAAATTAATTGACTGTTCGATTGAAATTATTACACATATTACTATGACTATATATATATATATAATGTATACGCACCGACGACGAATCCGAAAACGACCATAATTATTATAACACGGACCATATTGTCTTCCTTCATTCTTATCCTCGTTAATCATTTATAATTTATACCGAGTTATTTTATTTTTTTTTTTCACATTAAACAACCGAACAATAATCCAGTCCGGTACAAAATATGTATACACTTGAACAGAATCTAAAAAAATTATCGCTACTAACAAACGGGGGACTTGACGTCACCTTCGGGAAATCAACTAGAATCGATCGACAAACGATGGTATTATCTGTAATAAAATTGTTTTTTTCATAAACGCTTACGAGAATTACTTGAATATCGGAGTTTTATGTGTTTTGAAGGACCGTAATATTTACGATTTTAAAATAATACATTTCGTACATTTTCCCGTTTTTCCTACATTTTTCTCGGTTTCTCTCGTTTATTGCGAAAACCCCCGGAAAAATCGAGAAATGTCCTCAAGTACCGCCCCAGACGGATATCCTTTCAGAAAAAGTGTTCTAATTGAAAATCTGGTCGAAAATTCTGGTAGGAAAGTTGTCCATAGAAGGAAAAAAAAACGTCGTTGTGAAACCACTACATTCCTCCCTCCATACCGTACCAATTATCAGGCATTTATATAGAGGCGCGACGAAATCCTTTGGAAAAATTGCATATTGGCTTTGATGATTTATTATGACGTCGAGAAAATAGGTCTGAAAAAAATACTGAAAATAGAAATTGCCATTGCGACGAATTCGGCGAGAGACGAGGAAATAATTTAATTTTGAATTTTCAAAAACAAAAAAAAATATTTTACGGTGTTTACAATACACACGTAACCCGTGAATACGATGAAAACAAATCGATCACGAAAACGCTAGTTGAGATAACATCTTCTACAATATTATTATTAAACATGATATATATATTTTTTTTTTTTTTTATAAATATACGATTTCGTTATGGACATCGTTTATACATTCCGGATTTTAAATTTATTTCGTGAAACTGCATGTTGTTTTATTCATGCGGCGATGGAGTAGGCAGGTAGGTAGGTACGTCACAAAATATTCGTTTAGGTCGGCGAAGAAGAAGAAGAAGAAGAAGAAAAAAAATAATAGCCGTTTTTGAAACCAGGCGCTGCACAAAAGAAACATTCAAATTCGAAGTTTTCTATGTGCATTCATTTTTTTTTGGCATAGACACTGTTTTCTTGTGTGCGTATAGGTAAGTAATTTAATATTGTAGACAAACCGCATTTGCTCCGCGCAACACCACCGCCGGACTATTGCGACGATTAAGTCGATGCCTCGGGTCGAGTATTTATATATATATATAAATATATAAAAAAAACGTACTGCGATTAAAAAAAAAAAGAAGAAACCCGTTCAACCGATATTGTTACCAAATTGTAACTGTTTTAATGGCCTTGGACAACGTTTTTGCGCGTAAAGATAGGCTGCAGGTACACACAATATAATACGCGTAATGTCGTGCGTGCCGTCTCTGGTTTCGCAGTTTTTCTGCCTGTGCCTCGTGCGCTGGTACGTTTTCGGTATATTAAGCGCCTAATATAAGCGAGTGGGTGGGGGGGGGTGGAGGGGAAATTAAATAAAATACGCGTACTCACCTGTCCCGCGATACGTATCCGTTTTTAAACGTAACTAAACCGTTTTTTTTTTTTTTTTTTTTATATAGCAGTCTCCCGCGCGGTTCTGCAACATAAATCATCTATCTCATTAATTGGGCGTTTTGATCGAGCAAGAGATGAGGAACATCACTATACTGGGCGCGAGGCCGTGTGCACAGCGATGATGCGGTTGTCCGATATTTTATTGTATCAATCGTCGTCATATTATTATTATTATTATTTTTTTTTTTTATATAGCAGTCTCCCGCGCGGTTCTGCAACATAAATCATCTATCTCATTAATTATATTAATCATATTATAATATTTTACTCATATTTTAAAAAAAAAAAAAAATTATCATAAGTTATACGCTTATAATAATAACAATAATAATAATACATTTAAAGTGTCAGTTCAACTATAAATGTTGTTGATTTTTTTTTTTTTTTTTAAATTATATTAATATTAATATGTTAAGTGTCGCTTTACGTCGCTATATTATTATATAATACGACGTTCGATTTGTATTCATGATGCGATCATATTTTACGCGTACGCTCGTATTTTTTGGAGATAAATATATAACGATTGAAGTACACCCTTAGCTGTTAAAAAAAAAAAAAAAAAAAAAAAATTGTATGTTATTATTATACGTCAATAATTCATTGCGTACATGTATTGTGTTGTTTTTTCCATATATTTATGAACGTGACTTTTCGGAAATGGTAATGCATCACCTATGTATACACCAGCTATCCGCTTCGAGCTGGTAATATTTTAGTGTTGGCCAACGAAATCATGTATCGATAATGTTCGAATGCGATGTCATCAATATCGTAGGTGTTTTTTTTTTTTTTTTTTTTTTTTTCATAGGCTTATCCGAGGAGAATGATTATCGTCGAAAGCATCGACGGACGAAACAAATACTTTTGTATTTGGACTATTTTGAACAGTGAAAACGGGGTAATGTTTTATAAAAACCTGAGTAGCACAGAGGACGAAAACGTAAACCAATCGATTATAAACATTAGTTATTTTAACTATACACGAGTGTATTTCAGTTTATGTAGTACATTAACTATACTACAATAATAACAATAATAATAATAATAATAATAATACTGCCGCCTATACTTTCCGTTTAAAAATCTACTTTTTTTTTTTATCAGCGGTCGACCGCCAATTTAGTTACGCGTCGATTATGCAAATAACAAACACTGACGCGCGCGTCCACGAGGTTTTTATCCCCGCGTTATCAAAGCGAACAAACAACAAGCGGCGGTTAAGAGATCAGAGGACGTCGCGCGCGCATCGCGCGTTCGCCGTCTCCGTCTTACAAACAAACGCGATTTAGCGAATTCGCGTTTAGCACAATCGATTTTGCGCTATTATTGACGAAATCTACACCTATATTATCGAACTCAAGACGGGAGGGGAGAGTTAATTTTCAAACGGACATTGATAAATTTCAATAAATACAATTGACTAGCCAGTAAAACACATAACTAACACGCGTTCATTCATTTGCGTTATTACGTACGCGCGTTAAGGCGTACGAGTGCGCGGGCAATACCCTATCGGCACGTCGAATCCGGACGCCGAGATGCCGATAACTAAAACCGTATCGTCGGCCCGAGCGGTAAACATCGTGCCGGTAAGTCGTAACGCAATGTGGACAACGATAATTTAAATTTCAAAGCAGTAAAATGTAGAAAACACACGGAAAACGATCGACGTTGCACGCCGTAATGACATAAACATTATGAACGATTCGGCGGCTCTCGATTTGCGCGCATTCGGCGCCGGCGAACGGACGAAACGGTCGTGAACGTTGGCGTAAATCGTCGGGCCCCCGAGGAAGAAGGATTGGAGTCAATTTTTCGTCTTCTTTTTTTTTTTTTTTTTCAATTTCACGTCACGCGTTTTTTTTCTCTTCTAGTTGACGGTCGAAAACCTAATCCGACGTCTGTGTGTTCAACATTAATGCGTGTAGCGTAATTAGCCAAAGGACGATTTAGTGTTGTGTTTTCAACATTTAATTCGCTCGTGTTATCGTGACCCGCGGAAAATTCGCCTAATTCTTGAATGTGTCTGCGGCGCTCCGTTATATTATATATCAAACCTACCCTATACTTTTCGCCGTATTTATATATTTTATAATCTACACGCGTGCGGTGTATTGTTCGATAGCGAGCAATTTCAAAATGTTCCATTCGAACACGTACAATTTACACTTGAAATGTTTTTACAGTAAAAAATGCGTACCCACCAATTATTATTATTATTGTTCGGATTTAATGGGTTTTTTGGAATACGTGTTATACACGTTTTAATGAAACGCCGAGCTGTCTGAATTACTCGCATACGATATCCGTGACATCTTGTACTGATGATCCTACGCGGACTTGTCAACTCGGATGAGTGAGTGTATTTGTGTATTGTGTATATGCTTATTCGGGCGGTTAAATGTTGACCGCGCACTCGACTACGTCCTCTATACGTTTATACATAAAATCTAAATTTAAACCAAAGTCAATCTTTTTTCTTTTTTTTTTTTTTTTCATACATTTAAAAGGAAACGTTTGTGAATATGCTGTAATTTTGTTAAATCGATTGACTCAAGGCGTTTAGGTCTCATTACACGCGATAAAGCGACTTACACATTTCTCGTGTTTGTTTTTACATATTATTTACTATAGACTAACGTTCGCCGACCTGTTTATCGGAATTGATAACTTTTTACCGTCTAATAAATTATATTATTGAATTACAATGTTATTGACTTATTGCATAGGTACAGCCGACCACGTTAATTAATACAAATTGAATACCTAATGCATAATTAATCGTGAAATTATATCATTTTAACATCCATTGGGCCTGCGTGTACACGTTACGTCTAGCCAATTAAATTACTTTTCACACCAAAAATAACTAGGTATATATCGAAATGCGTACCTTCGTCTTATCTCTTAAGGGGATCGGAAGCGGTGATTTTCTGCCTTCGTCTTATACACACGCAACATAGACACAACATAGACGTGTTCGATTATTTCCAACGATTGATCTAGTGAGGCCAAAAGAATTTTGAAAGCACATTTGAATGTTTCGTCATGTCTACTTGAGATCGGCTTTCCCAGATTTTTAATTTTAATTTTAATCTCTTCAAAAATTAAAACGTTCCATTTTTTTAGTTACTCCTTTCTTTTTTTCTTTTACAGATTTTTAGGACTGAAGGGGATAAAATCAAGAATGTGGACAAGACGAGTTTAAGTAGATTCGACGACAAATTCAATTCTGTTTTCAGAATTCGTATTGCTTCACTAGACCAATCGATACGTTAAGAATAGAATGCGTCTAAATTGCCATGTTGCTCGTGTGTAAGACAAAGATCACCGCATCCAATCACCTTAAGCATTCCACGTGTTAATGATCGACTTCTTATAATAATAATTGTAATTGATGTGTTTATTTAACTTTTAAAAATGTTATCTTTGAAGAAAAAAAAAACATTTAGTTTTCATTTATTATCAGAAATTAAAATTTATACGTTTAGGCTGTTATACAAATTCCCGATATAATTTTCGGGTTTTTTTTTTTTTTTTTTTCAAATACCTATAATGTATGTTTGAGTATAGTATACAGAGTGCCCCAAGAAAATATGATATGAATATAATATGATCATTGTGATATCTTGTAAAGTATTAACTTTTTTCATAATTTTTGTTTGTTAAATTTAATAAAGAAGTAACCTTAAAATGTTGCATTGCCATTATTTTTATCGCTCATATTTTGGGGGCTGAACTGGCTATTTAAATTTTTTATTTTCAAAAGGCAACCTACTTTAAAAAATGCAATAAATTTAAATACATTATGGTATTGACATTTTTTATTTCCGTAATGGAGATCTATTCAAACGCCACATGCTTTGCCGCCACAAAAGTAATGCTCCACGAAATTTCCCTATATATTCCTAGGTTAGGTTACAATTTGAAAGTCTAAAGTGAATAATCGGTTCACTCCCGAAAAGCAAGGTAACAAAAATAACGTTAATATGTAACATTATAGAAGGACTTGTTCTTAAATTATCATAAAAAAAAAAAAAAATGCCGAAAAAAATGAATACTTTCCAAGATATCGCAATAATCGTATATTCACGAAATAACCTGTACGTATCAAACACCATTTTATAAGTGATTTATCTAAAACAAATTTTCGAAGCAAAGTTCGTATTTTCGTATTATTCGACATTTTCTTTTTATAAATTGATTTCAGTCCTGGGTTTAGTTATGTTTTAACCTAGCATCCGGATATTAATATGAACTATGCAGTTAGGCGGTTCCACTTATTTCAATAAGCTTCATGGTGATAAAAATTAACAATGGTATATAAAATTATATATGTATATATATTATACATGTCAGTTCTAATTGTGCAATTATTTATCAAGATTTTTTTTTTAACACCGAAACACGTTTCAGAGCGAAACACCAATCGCGTCTGCTAATGTATACAACAACGCAATGTAACGTTAAATTCAGACAAAAATTTTATTTTTTATCTGGAATAACAAATTTAAAACGTAGATAATATAAATAATATTCGTTTCGTTCTGCTTTACAAAAATTGTCTGTATTTATATAGTTATCAATTGGCGTTTTTATCACATATTATCTGCGTGTAATCGTTGTACCGTGCCTACATTAAAACAGATTAAATTTTACTCGAGCGCATTGCTAAATAACTTGCATAGGTACATCATTCCATTAATAAACCTCAATTGTCTATACAGTTATAGCACGTCAGCCTTTTATAAATAAATATATATCCTCTATGATCGACATTTCTATTTGGATTTGTTTTATGCAATGTTTCAACCATCCGCCACATCCATCTCTTTTTGTTTCAAACTGACTACATCGTGTCAGTGCCGTAGCCAGGATTTATTTTTTTTATTTTTTTTTTTGGGGGGGGGGCTTAATTTTTGATGGCCTATAAGAACGGCAAATTAAGTTTGCGCCGTATTGCTGACAACATAATTCATATAATTATACATATTATCAAATCAAGATCATATAATTAATACTTAAAAACAAAAAACAAAATAAAATAGGTTACATTATTACAACATGAAGTCCAAGCGTTTTTCTTTTTTTGAGGCTAACATATTAATTACTGATTCAGGTTCAATAATTATTTCCCGGTGAATATTCATAAGTGCTGGGCCATTTAGCCTCGTCTCGCTTTTTTGAGTTCATTAAATAGGTTTTTATTATTTTTAGTTTTGAGAAACTTCTTTCAACTGATGCTGTTGAGACTGGTAAAATGACTAGTATGTTCTGCAAAACATGAATATTTGAAAATAATTTTACAGGAAATTTTGATAGAACGTCTAAAGGACTTTTCGAAATCATTTTTGTTGCCGCAATTCAAATTCATTTTTCAGTAATACCATGTAGAAATCAACATCAGTGTTGTGAGTTTCCAAATCTTCACTGTAAAAAAACAATTGTTGGCTTTCAATCATTAAATAAAGAATTTTTTATATTATTTGGCAATATACAAGATAATGAAATGATAATATTTGAGTAAAAATTTAAATCTTTCATGAAATGCTGGCATTTCATCTTAATGCGGGAAAAAAATTGATTGACTAAAATAAGAAATGCAGTCATTATTGTGTATTTCATAGTTTGAACGATGTCTTTGAGTACCCATTACTCCTGGTGTAATCAGAAATACGCCTACTTTTTCTCCAATTTTACTAGTTCGATGGAAAATCCGAGTGAATATTTCTTCATTTCTTATACTTTGTAATTTTCGGGGCAGCGGGTTATCACGGTATCACGCATAAAAAAATTATATTTTTAATTAAATTAATAAAATTATTGTCGTCTGACATTTCGGGAGGAACCCGGAAGCCCCCCTCCCATGGCTACGGTACTGCATCATGCGATTTGTTTCTTTGACTCCACGATTTTCAATTATTTCCCCGGTGACCGAGAAGACAAAGTACAAGTAGCACAAAAGACAACGAAAATAACGTTAAATAATTACCTCGATTTTTAAGACTTTTGGCATTATTAGTAGACGTGCATCATTTATATTGTTGCATCACCTTGTATACAAAAAAGTGAACACGCCGTAAAACCCTATCAAGCGAATTATGAATTTATTCCCGATTCTCCTCCATATTAAAGCTATTATATCGCATACAAACAGCATGCATCACGGTACCCCCTCTCATCTGTTGTCCCTGCGCACATCCGAGACGGGACAATCCGCCAAAGTCTCATTTAGAACTCCTCATAGTACTGTTTGACAAAATTGTACACCGGCTGTCGGTCTGATGCAACCCCATATGTCGTCTCTTTTTTTTTTTTTTGTTCTTGTTTACACCGACAGCAGCGAGGGGTCTGTTTTCACAATGCTTCCTCACTGCCGCCAAACGTTTATTAATAAATATAATTAAGTCATAAGTTTAAATCCTGATTTCCCCTTCCCGGGGCCGGCACACGTTGAATTTAAAGATATTAATTAAAACTAAGGGGTGCGATGAGCAGTGTAACCCACGCCACCCCCTTACAAAACGCTATAATTAATATTAAATATCTAGCGGGTTTTTATTTTTATGGAAGTAATAACAATGCCGTAGGTCTATATACCCTCCGTCATTCTGACGTTATTCTTTCGAAAACTATATCAGTGTTCCTCGGTTTCGGAAAAATTCAATTTTCACTGTACTATACGCGATTTCACTGCTTCTCCAGTCGAGGATATTGCCTAATATACCCTTATAGTATTATAAGTTGAACTGCAGATATTGAAACTGATATTGTGCGTTGTGACCTCACTTTGGAATAATTGCATTTTCGTCGATCTATGTAGTTAAACATTCTTATTGAAAAAATAAAAAATCGGTAAGAACTATATTTTCTTCACGGTGATTGGCTTATTTTACCAGTGTTTGGACACGAACACGCGTTCAATTAAATGGCGTTTGAACGCGAACGACTTTTTTCGTTTATTTATCGTTCATTATAATATCCGAACCGTATATTTTACGACCCGGGACTGAAACTTGTTATTCATAGACCGATATTTTAATTAAATTATTCACGAATTTTTTAACAGTTTTGCTGTTTGCGGAGTATATAATCCGGTTAATTCGATTAATGTTGAATGCAGGTGTTCCTCTACGTATTACATTATAGGTATTCGTGTTTATCGTATTTCCTTTACGGTCGTTTCCGGTTTTAAAAACCCGGAGAAGAACCTCAAAAACTCCGTAGTCCCTCTCTCGTGTAACGCGTGCGTGTGGCGAACAGTTCGCAGTTCATTAAAAAAAAAAAAAATAAATAAATAGAAGTCTGACGTTAACCTTATAACCTAACCTATCGCGGAAGTAGTGTTATAATTGGACGGTAGTGTAGGACTCTGGGCGCATAATTACACTGTAATAATATATAATTATTATAAATAGATACGCGCACGTTCCAATCGATATTTTATTTGACGAACAGTGTAGAAAATAATAATAAGTAGCCGCGCTACAAAGTGACAGCAGCGGCCCGAGGAGATCGTATACGTATATACGCCAACCCTCGGAATTCCGTCAGAACCTATGCAAATTTCTTCGCGCGTCATTTTTACTCGCCGTAATATTGTTATTAAACTTCGCATTATTATTAGTTATTTTGTTTGTTACTGCGGATTTTTCGTTTTTTTTTTTTTTTATTTACCCCGTCGGCGACGGATGAGACAAGACTCGACGGCCGTGGTATTCGGAGTATTTGGAGTCGTCCACGTATTCGTGTGAGTTTCCGACCGAAATTCGCGGTTCGTTTGTAATAACATTGCCGTTCAATTGACAATTCTTTACCCGACTTTGTTAAACGATATAAAAAATAACGTGCACTACAATTGCCTAATATATAGATAGTCGCGAAACGTTAGGTTTCAGGAAATCTAATCGGCCGAGTTCGCCCGCTTATTCACACTTGATGAAAAACGACCGATTTCGTTCATAATGTTTGTTGATGTTAAGAGGACGTCACCACGCACTCGCATTGATTGCTGTCTCAGTCCAACTGCAGGCGGCAACATAACAAATAATTACGTCTTAAGAAACGTAAATTACGTTTAGTTTGAAATCGGAATTTAAACACAAATATCAATATTACCATATAAAACGTTACAGATAGGTTATTAGAAAAAAAAAATAAATACCATTAGCAGCTATGACTTTTTTGTATATTATAACTTTTTAAGAAAATGCCACGCGTACGTACAGCCCTCGGAAATATTGTCTTATTTTAATTATTTTCATTCGTGTTTAATTATTGCAATCAAAACGCCACGGTTTACGTGCTGAGTGACGCGATTTTTTTATTACGTCACCCGCTGGTTAGGCCGAGACAATGATACGTGGGTGCCGTGTGACGTCCACTCGAGTCATCGTGCCGGTTAACAATATAGACAACGGTTACTATTGACGTT